ATGCCTGGAAATCCTGCCTAGCTATTGGCCATTCAGCTTTTTATTAAACCAATCAGAATGACATGTCTTCACAGTGTACAAAAAGATTATTCCACACCAGGCACTTAAAATTTCTATTTATCTTTATCTTACTGCCCGTGTGTATGTGAGTGTACTTTGTTAACGTCTTGGGCATCAGATCCCCTGGGACTGGAGTTATTGACAGTTGTGAGGCATCACATGGGTGCTGTGGATTAAACCTGGGTCCTCTGCAAGCACAGCCAGTGCTCTTAATCACTGAGCCATCTCTCCAGATTCCTCAGGCACTGTTCGAAATGAGTCTCATGGACTGTCTTGTTCTTGTCTAACAGAAAAGCTATAAATTCAAACTATTTTTAGCCTCAGTTTCAGAGAGGTAGGATAGTCTTCCTCAAACCATGCTTGGTAATCGGTAAACCTGACCAGGAGGTTTACTCACAGGACAAGTGACCAGTTGTCTCTGCTTCTCAGAATAATTTGTTTCTTTCCAAAATGCCTGGCCACATCTCTATTCCAACCAGACACCAGTACCTGCACAATCCAGACAGAGCCTGCTAGTAACAGACCCCTTCCTGTCTTCTAGAAACTACACACATGCTCTCAGAAAGGCAGAGGTGAGGCAGGAGGATCTCTCCTTCCCTCTTTTTTCCCTCCCTCCCCCCTCTCTCTTTTTTCATGATTTCTTGACAGGATCTCATTATGTATCTGTGCCTGGCCTTGAACTCCCAGAGATCTGCCTGCCTTCTGAGAACTGGGATTAAAGGTGGTTGTCACTACGCCCGAATTCTTTTCTTCTATGGTTCAGAAAAGGACCCCAAACATACTCAGAGCTCGTTAAAGTCAATTAAATGAAAAGACAAGATACAAATGAATTATGGATTAATGTGGTGGTGATTGACCATGTTTTAGCCTGTTTGAGCACTGCTCTTATATGGTACTATGTTGCCCCCATGTGGCCACTTGTAAGATGGCAGACATTAAACAACTAATTTTGATAGAAATTTTCAAAATTTTAGAATAATGCAGGAAGTAATATAGTTAATTTGTTATATATATCACTAAGATTTTAAAGTCATGTGTGTTTTCTATGTTACATTTGCATTTGAATTCCAAATATCATTGTAATGCATTAGCATACATCTTAAAATGAGATCAGCTCATTTTACAGATGAGAAAACTGAGGCATAGAGAGGTTCAACTAGTTGCTCAAGCTAATATGCACTGAAATCCAGACACTTTGCCAAAGCCAGGAACTCCTCATCCTAGCTTTTAACATGGCTGCCTGTATCTTTTCCAAAATGGGTCATTATGCACATGTTACCTCCTGTAGGAGACTTCCCAGGGCATCCAATTCATGGTGTTCTCCATTGAACCATCAGCTTTTGATGTATTGACACCCATTTTCCATGCTAGGAAATTCATATTCACTCACTTTCTTTTGTACTGTCTTGTCTATATTGTCTCCGTCCTTTGCCCCACCCCCAAACCCTGGGGTGTCCGCTCCTCACGATTAGGGACCACATCTGAATTGTCCACTTCTGTAGTTCAGGCCCTGGCTGGAAGGTGTCAGGGGGCTGGAAACATTTAGTAGAATGAATGGAGGGGCTGGATCTTGTAGTACCCTACAGCTTCGAGTATCAACACTCAGGAAGTAAAAGCAGATACCCTGTGATTCATAGCTAGACCTTGTCTTAAAAAACAAAAGGCTGAGGCTGGGAAAGATGACTCAGTGGTTAAGAGCATTTACTCCTCTTTAAAGAGGACCTAGATTCGAATCCAAGCATCTATATGGTAGTTCACAACCATCTATAATTCTAGATCCAGGGGATTCAGTGCCCTCCCTTTTTTTTTGTCCTCTGCAAACACCCATGATACATGTGGTATGGACAGACATGTTGGCAAAACACTCAAACACAAAATAACTAAAGCTTAGAGGTGTGTGTGTGTGTGTGTGTGTGTGTGTGTGTGTGTGTGTGTGTGTGTCTCGGGGGAAGTTGAGGCTATAGCGCTGTGGTAGAGTACTTGCCTAGTTCAGTTAAGGCCCTGGATTTGATACCTAGTACTGCAAACAGACAGACAAGAACAATAAAAATAAGAAGGGAAGAGAGGGAGAGGGAAGGAAGATAGGAAGGGAGCGGGGACAAAACCCCAAGCTCTCTAAGAGAGTGAGGCAGGTTATAGAAGGAGAGGGGATGGAGGGCAGAGAGGAATGCAAGATGCAAAGATGCTTTTGGCAGGTGCTCAGGACCATGAAACATCAAGAGTGAGTGGGTGAGTCCAAGCCAGGCCCCCACTTGGCTGGGAGGACATTGCTCTGATTAGAGCTGCCAGACTTGGCAAATAAAAGCACAGGATGACCAGGTTAAAAATTAATTTCAGATAAACAGGGAATAATTTTTTTATGGAGCTATCGTTGCCTGGCTCTCTGCTTGGTGCTAAGTGTTGTGGGAGATCCTGCCGACTCTAGTCTGCTTTTAAAATACAGAACATTTTGTTTTTGCTCCTGAATAAAGAAGCACAAATTCTTTATTGATCTAAAAGAAGGACAGATTTCTCAGAGACAGATGGCAGCTTGTTACAGGAGAATGGTTCTGGAGTCTTAAGGGAAGGAAAGCGGGGAGGTGTCAGTGTATTGGTCTGAGCCCATGGTGGCCTTCTGGAATCTGCTTGTCCCCTGGTACTTTCTTCCCCAGGTCTGGTGACCTGGAGTAGTGTTTAGCTCCCTGGTTGCTCCTAAAGAGAACAGGAGAGAAACATTCAGCTCAGGAGGAAAAGACAGCTTGGGAATGTGAGCTCACTGGTGATCTGCCTGTTCATCCCATCTCACCAAGTAGCTGGGGGCAAGGTTTCAGAGATGAGTGGCATGTGGCCTTGAGGCTCTGCACAGAGAAGGGAGTATCTTCTTACCCTTGCCTCTTCTCTCTCTTTCCTTTCCTCCCTCCCCTCTTCTCCACTTCCTCCCTCCCTTCCCCATTCTTACTTCTTTTCTCATATATTTCTTTTTTACTTTCCCAGCCATTTGTCAACTTAATTACCCAGTATCCAGATGGGACTCTAAAGGAATAACTACGGCACACTGGTTTTATTGTTATTGCCTATCTTTGCACAGATACCTTCTCCTGATGCACCCACAAGTATCCAACAGTGCCCAACTCAACCTAGAGTTCATTTGCATACTCTTCTGATTGGTTGGTACAAATCCACCAGGCACCTAAACCTCCACTTATCCTCCCTTTGCTGATTTGCTCAATCCCATGTCCTGGGATTCTCAGATTTGGCGCTGCTCCGTGTGCCCTTGTCTGCTCAATAAAGTGTCTCTGGTGATCTCTTTGGGTTGAAGTTAAAAATCTGGATTAAGCCTGAGCATTGCCACTGACAAAATTATGTGACCTTGATGAATCATTTTGCTGTTCTGACACTCTGTTCCTATATCTGTAAGTGAGAAGAATTGCCTTGACTGGATTCTTAGGAGAATATTCTGTGGTAGTTAGTATATTCTCAAAAGTCAGACAGCCTGAGTTCAAACCCTGCTTCTATTTATCTGCAAAATGCCCTGCACCCATGACCTATTTCTCTTTCTTCTGAATAATAAATTAATAAGCCGAATAAGTGCATAGCTGTGAAAACACAACAGTGCTTTGAACACAGGCGGTCTAATATGTGATAGATATTAAAGTCTATTGTCTAAATGTTGTTCATGGCATTATTGCCCAATTCATACGTGAGTGTGGGCTAGGAAAAATTAGTTGGCTCAGAGTACAGAGGTCCCTTATGAAGAACACTCAAAGAATGAGGCCCTAACCTGTTGGGCCCCAGTAAAGTGTCTATGATGACAACCGCACCTCTGCCTACTTCCCAGGAGAGCTCACATGCCTGGCCCATTGTAAGCCTTCACAACAAACATGTAGCATGAGTGAATGCATGGGCCACATGGGTGTCAGTGACATGGCAAGCTACAGAGCTCTGTCTTCAGTGGCAGCTGGACTAACTTGTGGCCCCTGAGACCTACTAAAGTGGAGGCCCACAGAAGGTAGGGGGTGAATGCTGAGCTGAGTGGCCAGGCTGGATGTGTGTTGGTTAGCATTCCACATGTAGATGATGGGATTCTGGCTAAACCAGCCTAAAGGGATCCTTGCTGGAGACAGGTCAGTGTGATAAGACATCACCTGGGAGGTGGATGAGGATGAGGAACCTATCAAGCAGTTGGAGTTATTTGATATGAAGATTGTGGTTCCTGTTAAACTGATTTAGTAATGCTCTCTGCTAAAACCAGGCCTTATGAGGAAGATTGGCTAGGAGATGGTTCAGGAACCGGACTGAAGTTTGGTCAAGGAGAAACTCTGTCAGTCTGCATGGGAAACATCTGGGAACTAAATGCCAGTATTAACGATGGTTATCTCTGAAGAACAGAAGTAACTTTAAATTAAAATTTAAGAGGTACAGGCTGGGGGAGTAGGTAAGTGGTAAAGCGTAGAGCACGTGCTTAGTGGGGATAGGACTGCATTTGACGCCTCCCCCTATATTTAAGGCAAGAGTTCCTATTTAGATCATGTAGGCTCTATGTGGCTCTGGTGGATGCCACAGAAAGCTCACAGAAAGCAGGGTTGAGACAGAAGTGTAACTGTAGATGTTTGCAAGGAGCAGGACAGATCTCTATAGCAACCAGAGAGTACGACCTGAGGGGAAGACAGGAGCCTAGACCTTGAAAACTCTATCAAGGCTTAGACTTCATTTGATTCCTGACTGTCTTTTTTCCTAATAAATCACCTCCGGGAATCTTTTGTTTATTCATTTTCTAAGACAGATTCAAGTTGCCCCCAATCATCCTCTTGTTCCCCGGGGTCTAAGGACTGCACCACTCCAGGCTGCACCCTGGAAGTCGCACTTTTCCTCGGAGGGCTTCCGAAGACACTGAAGCCTGACGCGGGCTAACTACAGCTCCCAGCATGCTGTGCGCTTCGCCTCGAGCGCGGCGCGCGTTGCCGACGTAGGCCGTAGCGCGGGGAATTTCGAGTAGAGGAGCTGCGTGGCAGGCCGGTAGCTGGCGGTCTTGTCAGGTGCGACCATGGAGGCCCTGGCCGAACCGCGGTGGCCTCCGGGGCTGGCGATGATGAAGGTGAGTGTCTCGGGAAGGCCGGGGCGCGGATGGCGCGGGTGCGAGCGGGGCGGCGCTGGCCGCGCGCCCCCGCCTCGGCCCTGCCCTGGTCGGCCTCGCGACGCCGGGCCTCAGTTTCCAACTCCCGAGACAGTTCGGGAGCGCATGGCGGCCGTACGCGGGGAGCCCAGGATGGCCGCCCTAACGAACCGGATGTTTTGGGTTTCAGTCACAACCGCCTCGTCACCAGGAAATAGTCACTGTAACGCAGTGTCAACGATGGTGACAGTTCATCCTCCGAGAACTTCCCTGTGTTCACAGCGATTTCACGCGTGGTTTGGGTGGACGTTACATCGGATGACGTTTTTATACTCATGTACCAAAGCAGGGGATCTGCTTACCATGACTTTCCATTTCTGGCAGAGGTTCAGGGGTGCTTCTCGTTCTTAGCACACCGCATCCGGTTTCTCCCTGATGTTGCCTTGCCTTACTCAATAATGACACATCTTTTTTTTAAACTTTTATTTATTTTGTTAATTTATGAGACTAGGACTTACTCTAGCCCTTGGCTGGCTTGGAGTTCGGTATGTAAACCAGGCTAGCCTCGAACTCAAAGATCCATCTGCTCCAGCATCCTGAGCGTTGGATTTAAAGTCATGGGTCACTGGCCATCCCTGGCTCACATCTTTTTAAAACAGAGATCAGAACCTAGGCCCAGCACTCAGCCTTTCATTTTAAAAAATTATTGCACACTGAATTATTTCACTTAACATTTACTTGGGCGGATATTTTTTGTTTTTGTGTTTTTTTTTTTTCTTCTAAGAATCACTCCTGAATTCAGGCTTTTCCCTTACTTTTCATAAAAACAATGTATTTACCTATAACAATTGATTATTCTTTGCAAGCAGATTTTGTTTTGTTTTGTTTTGTTTTTGAGACAGGGTTTCTCTGTGTATCCCTGGCTGTCCTGGAACTCCCTCTATAGATCAGGCTGGCCTCGAACTATGCCTCCAAGTGCTGGAATTAAAGGTGTGTGCCACCAACTCCCAGCACAAACAGGTTTTTAATAGCTATGTAATATTTCATCATATGGATTGTTAATGACAACTTTTTTGTTTGTGTTTGATTTTGAGACAGGCTCCCTGTGTAGTATAGGCAGGCTTGGAGCTTGCTCCTTAGCGCAAGCTGGTGTCTAGCTTTGGAACCTCTTGCTCCTGCCTCTGAAGTGCTAGGTTTAAAAGTATGTGTGTGTCACCATAATGGCATTTACTTATAATAATGTATAATATATGTAATACATAATAATATAATGGTATTTAAATTATTTATTTTAAACATTTGTTCTGTGCATTGAGTATTTTGCTTGTTTGTATGTATGTGTTTCTACATTCATGACTGGTGCTTGGAGAGGTCAGAAGAGAGCATCGACTCCCCTGGAACCAGAGTCAGAGATGGTTGTGAGCCGTCTATGGGTGCCAGGAATCCAACCCAGGGCCAGCTGATGCTCTTAACTGCTGAGCCATCTCCTCATTCTCTACAGTTTTTAAGTAATAGATTCATATGATTTAAGAAATACATAAAATGAAACATCTTCCTGCCATGTCCTTCGTTGCTCAATTCCCTGCTCTTGGTAACTATGATTTATCACTTTGTTGTACCTTTTCAGAATTTTCTTCATATATGGAATATCTACTTTTGCTTTTTTTTTTTTTTTTTTTTTTTTTTTTTTGTAGGGTCTCACTGTAGCTCTGGCTGTCATAAAACTATGAAGATCAGGCTGGTCTGGAACTCACAGAGATCCTCCTGCTTCTGCCTCCCAAGTGCTGGGAAATGTGTGCCGCTATCCCTGGCTATAGTCTACATTTTTATTCAATGTGTGTGTGTGTGTGTGTGTGTGTGTGTGTGTGTGTGTGTGTGTGTGTGTGTGTAGCTCAGGATGGCAGCCAGATCTAAATATTATGTATACATTGTTCTGCCTGCATGTATGCCTGCAGGCCAGAAGAGGGCACCAGATCTCATTACAGATGGTTGTGAGCCACAATGTGGTTACTGAGAATTGAACTGAACTCAGGTCCTCTGGAGGAGCAACCAGTGCTCTTAACCTCTGGGCCATCTTTCCAGCCCTCAGTACCTTTCTTAAACAAATTAAAAGATTTTAAGTTGTAAGAATAAATCCTGTCCTGTTTAGCTTGTTGTCCAAGTTGACACTGACTGTAGCTAGCTGTTTTGAAGGCTTCCTTGTTTGGCTGCACTGTGGTGTATCATGCATAAGTATTGGACTACCGTGAGGAGGATGGGTATTTCAGTCTCAGAATCCGAAGTGCTAGGATTGCAGGTGCATGTTATCATGGCCTACTAGAACCTTTGTCATGTTTGCCTTTCCTAGTCTCCAACTTGGTTCTTAAGCTGTGTGGTGATAGTTGCTATCTTCTACCAAGTGGTGACCATATGCCAGAGGATGGGTTCTGAAGAGCTAGAAACATGGGAGAAGAAGAGCAGGAAGGCAGGGCTAACAGTGTGGCACAGGAACCAGCAGTGTCGACTGTCCACAGCAGCTGGCATAACCTGAAATTTGATTTTAATTTGAATTTATTTTTATTTTATTTTATTATTTTTGTTTTTTCATGGCAAGGTTTCTCTGTGTAACAGCCCTTGGCTTTCTGGGAACTCGTTTTGTAGACCAGACTGGCCTCAAACTCAGAGAGATCTGAGTACTGGGATTAAAGGTGTGCACCACCACACCCAGCAAATTTAAATATTTGTGGGTTTTTTTTTTTTCCTCTATTTGTGATGATACTTTGCTGTTTCTCTGTAGTTAGATTTTGAGTAAGTGTGGAATTAATTTTAGGGGAATAGAGGGAAAGTTGTGTGCCAGGCATTGATCCTGCTGCTGATGTCTTGCTGATACACATGTGTTTTTATATTTCAGACAATAGATGATTTGCTTCGCTGTGGAATTTGCTTTGAGTATTTCAACATTGCAGTGATAATACCCCAGTGCTCTCACAACTGTAAGTACATTTTGTTTTGTGTTAGTAAAAGCCCAAGATAGCTTTCATTAATACTGAAGGTTCATTCACATGTTCATTTTTTATTTTTCATTCCTCTATCTTGTACTTTTAAGAAGGTCTATGTCATCACCTTGTCTTGAATATGGCAGTTTCTTGCAAAGTTCTTATATTTTTCTACCACCTCCCCTTTTGGATATTTTTATATGCCTTTTGTAGAATTTACAGCAGTAAGGATTTTGGTATCACTATATGGTTATTTGCTGAGTACTTTATAATGTTAAGCTTCGGGATGTTGTTTTTAGCAGGATGACAGATAAATGGTTCAACCACTTGGTTTGGAATTATAAATCTTAAACTTCAAAACAATAGGAATGCAGATGCTTTTCAACATGGGATTATTGTAAACTTGTCAGGAGTTGAATATACTGTTAAGTGAAAATTTTGTTAATGCACCCAAGCTATTTCCTGTTGTAGCACAGAACAGGTAGAATGAACTGACCTCCTGACCTACTGGCTGATGGGGTGCTGTGCCTACTACCTCTACCCAGCATTTCAGAAGTATTGTACTGCATATTGCTAGTGGAAGGTTGTGGTGGGGAGCAGGACAGAGGAATTCGAAATGTAAAATGTGGTTTCTATGGAGTGAATACCGTTTTTGTATTCTGGGACGGTTAGAAAATTGTCCAGCTGTCATAATTCAAGGACCATCTAGGTTCCCTCAGAATTCTCTCATTGAAGAGTATTGCAGATCGTCTTCTCACTTAGCAGCTGTGGGAGACTTAAAAGAGTAGTGCAGTAGCATTGCTTATCTTCTTTATTAGAAATATGTTTTAAATGCTTAGGGATAAGCTTATTCTTTTCTCTTATTTGTTAGGTGATGTGGATTTAATCCTCAAACATACTTAGGCAAGTGCTCTGCCACTCTCCTAAGTATTTTAATAGCTTAAGATTGTGGAGCTTCGTTAACCTGTCATTTAGGCCATCTAGTTTATTGAATACTTAGATTTATAATCTTTTTTGTTCCTCTGCTTTCAAGTTGATATTTGTCTTCGAAAGTTAAAAATCAGTTCAGTGTGGCTTTAAAAAAGATGGGGAAGAGCTTTGACAAAAAGTTCTATGATGTCATAATAAGGTGCTGGCAGATATCGGCTTTGTAGACACACCTCCACTTGACTCTTGAGTGCCACTTACCAAGTGGATGAATTTGTAATTATTGCTCAACTTTTCTCTAAATGTCAAAGTCTGTTGAGTAGTTTTTACTTCAGAAGATAGTTCTGAGAATTTATATGCAGAACTTGAGGCTGTGGGAGATGGTTTAGTGGGTAAAGTGAGGATATGAGTTCTGATCCCTACTACTCACATAAAAGCCAAGGGTTGTGGTGTACATCTATAGCCTTAGCGCTTGTGGACAGAGACAGATGAAATCCTGGGGCCTCACTTTAGTCAGCCTCCCTGGAAAACCAACAGTAACAATGTGAATTTCAGGTTCAAAGAAACCTTGTCTCAAAAAAGATGGAGGGTGATTGAGGAAGACACACAACATTGACATCCATATGTACATACCCAGGCAAGTGCTTCCACATATAATAGACATACCAAAAACAAACCCCCTCACTACTTGGCCCATTTTGAACTATCATTACTTTTCTATTGCTGTGATAAAACACCATGACAACTTATGGAAGGAAGGGTTTATTTGATGCATTTTCTGCCAGAGAGATAAGAGTCCATTACCATCACAGCAGGGCAGGGAATTGTGGCTGCAGGCAAGCTTGGCACTGGAGCTGGAGACTAGAGCCTAAGGGCTCACATCTCATACCATAACATGAAGTGGAGAGATGGAACTTGAAATTGACAGTGTCTTTAAACTCTCAAAGCCTGCTCCCAGTGACTAACTTCCTCCAGGAAGGCCACATTTCCTAAGCCTTCCTAAACAATGTCACCAACTAAGAACCAAGTATTTAAATGCCTGAGAAAATGGAGGAAATTTCTTTGAAACCACCACAATGGGTCTTTACAAATGATAGTTTTCTTCCAGGTAGAGTCATATGAATAGCCAAGATCAACTTTGGGAACTGTTTCTAAACATATTTTAATATCTTTACAAACAATAAAAATCATACATTAAAATGAGCATGTTCAATGAGTTCTGACAGATATGTCATATAACAAGTACAGTTAAGTTTCTTCATCAGATAAAGTTCTTCCCATTTCAGTTAATGCGGTCTTTGAAATACCCATAGATCTATCCATAGCTAGAGCTAACATGTGGTATTGTCTTGGATTGATAGGATTGATGGCTCTGAATCCTAGTTATTTATTGATTGCTGCTCCTTAAACATTCCAGGATTCATCACTGTAAATGACTTTATTCTGTTTCACTCTGCTTGTTTTTTTTTGGAAACAAGCAATAAACACTATGTTTGCATTTAGTTATTAAAGTTTGAATGAGTTAAGAAGCAGCTTAGTTAAACTAGACCCAAAGTCACTGTGTTGTTATTCCAGATGAGAGTCACAAAGTTATGCAGAGCTGCGCTCCTGGACATTCTGGAGTGCTGGTCCTTAGTTGATTGGATGGTGTTTTCTTATCAGCTAAAAATAATTATTAAATTTTTGTTAAATCAATATGATTTAAAGTGATGTGTGTGTGTGTGTGTTTTATGACCCACATCCACTGAATTAATATAAGTGAGAGTAGAGTTTAAATTAAAAGCAGTAACCTTCCCTGTAGGTGCCTGAGCTCAGCAGCAGCCGTGTTTAGCAATTTGGGACTTAAAATATTGCCTGGGAAACTTCTTATTGTGTGTCTTAATTACTTTTCTGTTTCTGTAATAAAACACCATGACCAAGGCAACTTATAAAAGAAAGAGATTATTTGGGTTTACAGTTTCAGAGGGTTAGAGTCCATGACAGTCGTGGTGGGAAGTGTGGCAATAGGCAGGCAGCATGGTGCTGGGGCAGTAGCTGAGAGGTCACATCTTAATCCACAACCACAAGGCAGGGAGAGCTAACCAGGAATTCTGTGAGTCTTTTGACACTTCAAAGTCCACCCCTAGTGACACACCTCCTTGAACAAGGCCACACTTTCTAATCCTTCCCTAACTGTTCCACCAAGTAGAGACCTAGTATTCAAATATATGAGCCAGTGGGGCCATTTTCATTCAAATCACCACATTCCAGTAACTGGCCTCCATAGGTTTGTGGCCATATAATAATGCAAAATGCATTTTGTCAAGCTTCAAAAGTCCCCATAGTTTTTCAATCTCAAAACAATTTAAAAGTAGGAAGTCTCTTTTGAAACTCAAGGCAGTATTTTAATTGTAACTTCTTGTAAACTCAAAATCAAAAAGCAAATTACATAATTCTAATGTATAGTGGCATAGAATATACCTTTCCATTCCAACATGGAGGAAGAGGAGCACAGTGAGGAAATACTGGACCAACAGAAGACTGAAACCCAGCAGGACAAACTCTGGAGCCCCTAGCTCTGTCTGATGTCAGAGGATTGAGATGGTTCTTCCCCTCCTGCTTTGCTGACTGCAGCACACTCTTTGCTCTTGGGCTGGTTCCACATACTCCCTATGTACAACTCTCCTTGGCAGATATCCCAAGGCTCTGGTACCTCTAACATCTTGGGGTCTCCAACACAATCCAGGCTTCACTGTCACAGCTTCATGCAATAGCCTTTCAGGACCTCCATGCTGGGACTCCCCTGCCGAAAGCCTGACCTCAGTGGCTTTATTTAGCCGTGGAGGAAGATTCCACAACCACTTTTCTTGTGTATCCTCATGACTTGAAAGCAAGAATCATGTTGATAACATTGCCAAGTTTTACTGCCCAGTTGGGGTAGAGCCTCGCCCCCTCCTTGAGTTACATTTGGAGAAGTTTTCCTTTGTTTTCAGCAGCAGAAAATTCCTCAGGCATTTCCTAGCTGGATGGGGTCTCACCCTGAGGGCACCCCCCCCCCTTTATTCTGTTGTATAGCAGGTCTTCGTTAATCTTCTCATCTCTTTCAGCACAATCCTTGGCTCTGACATTAAATTTTCTGTTCTTCTTTTTCTTCCCAAACTACATTTTTTTCCCCCACTTGCTCTTTTTCATTGTAGACCTGCATAAGAGTGATTACTAAGAACCATTGGACAGGGTTAGTATTCAACTGTCTTAAAATCTCTTCTACCAAGGAAATTAATCCATTATTTTCAATTTAAGTCAAGTGTGGAAAATAGCCACATTCTTTGCCAAAATTATCACAAGACTCTTTTCTATCCCAGTTGCTAATATTGTTCCCCTCTGAAACCTTTTGAGCTGGGCCTTCTTAGTCCACGTGCTCTTATCTCTGCCATCTTCCAAGCTCCGACTAGGATGGCCCGTTAAGCCCCACTTCAACTGCTTTCCTAGTCCAGAGTCTAAGTCTTCCACATTCCTCCAAAAGATAGCATGCTCAGGTCTGTCAGAATAATCCCACTCCTGGTACCAACTTTCAGAAATTTCCAGCAACTGTTGGTCATACTTCAGATGTTCTCTTTGGTGCTGGCTTCAGTACAGGTTTCTTTTCTGGCTCCTGGGTGCTTTCTGCTTGGGGACTCTCCTCCCTGTAGAGCTGCCTGTCTAGTTTTTTTGGGGAGGGGTAGTAGTTTAGCCTGTGACTTTGTTTTTCTGATGGATCTGAGGAGAGTTTTTGGTTTTTCAGGTTGTTCACAAATGAATGGCAACTGCAGCTTCTTTGCAATGCCCAGAAGAGCTCTACCTGTTTTCTGCCTGTCCTTGGCCATATGTCCCTTCCTTTTCCCCCTTGGGGTACTGTTGTTGGAGCTGGCAATACTTTATTTGTGAATACTTGCATCATCAAAATCATACTGTTTTTGCTTCCTCAACTTAATTCAGCTGAACTTAGGCTTGGGGTAGAGGAGTCACTACTGGGGTATTATCTATTACACCAGATAGTTTTCTTTGGGAGTGCATTTGACGCTGCTGCCTCAGCTATGAAGAATTTAGTAGATACTTAGTTCCTGCTTGACTTGTAATATAGTTGTCCTGTGCTTTGTTGGCTCTAAAAAACCTTAGCCCTGTGTGTTGTTTTGGCATCTGTTAAGTGTAGGGTGGTGGGCATCACAGGGTTAGGATGTGGGTATCTGGCACATGTGTAAAATAAGCCTAGGGCTTCTATGTGTTCCCGTGGCTCATACATGGAGCAAAGAGGGAGTGGTGTGTGCTTACAGAGTTGTGAGAGCTTAGAAATGCACTGCACTAGATGCGTTTCCTTTCCTTAACAATGCTTTTAGTTACATGTATAGATACTTGTGGAGCAAGAAGGCCCTAGAAACTTAAAACTATAATGATATAATGATAGAAGTACTCTAGTCTTAGGCCAAAATTTTGTTAAAAGTCAGATTCCTACATTACCGAATAGTGTAACTTCCTGTGTTACATTTTGTGTCTTTTTCAGATTGTTCTCTCTGTATAAGAAAATTTTTGTCCTATAAAACACAGTGTCCAACTTGTTGTGTGGTAAGTTTTTATTTTCTTTTTAAAAATTTTGTTGATTGGGGCAAGTTTTTTGCTTTCTGTGTCCACAGAAATGCATGGGATCATATGTAGTCCTGAATTAAGCCACTTGACTGTTTCCAGGAAAGACTTCTGAAGTATACATAAGAGACTTGGGTTTTGTTCTACTTCTCATCAGAATTTTTTATACCCTAAATGTATTTTGTGAAGTAAAAGGCTATATAGTACTCCTTGACTCCTATAATTTATGTTTTTATGGTTCCTAACTTTTTATAATTTCTCACTTTGGATGAAAACTACTGGTGGGACTCTTTGTTTGTGAAGGACTGGTGTTCATGTTTGTAGAGGAGGCAAGAGTTTCATGACAACTGGGCTCACCCAAGCCTCCCTGGACTCTTACCACCCTCCCAGACCAGCCCGTCAGAACAAATAACAGCAAGTGTTTTTCTTGAGGTGAGGACAGGTAGAGAGGGAGATGGAATGGGAAATTAAACCTGTGTTTGGGGAGAGAAAGAAGAGACACGCTCTCTTGAACAGGACACTGCCAGGAGCTGGAGGTATGACCATGGTGTCAGGATGTCTGTAAACTGTTTCCCTGTGCCATAAACAGTGCAGTTGCCTCCAGCCTCGGAGGTCTTGGCCACTGCTGTGCTGCCTTTGTTCAGCTGGACTGAGCACCAAGGCGAACCAGATAGCATCTATGCTGCAGTGCTGGATGGTGTTTTTGTAGTTTTGAGTTCTTATTTTTAACCTTCTTTGAACACTTAATGCCTCTTGCAGTGTTATTACTTAGAAACTCCTCTCTTCTCTTTCTGAGTAATTTGGGGAAAGCTAGAGTTTTGGTATTTTGAAGAAAAATCCTTGCTCATGTTAAGTTTTGTCTTAATTGATGCAGAGTAAATAGCAGATAGTTTTAACATGCTTTTGAGAGCTGTTATCAGGCTTCCAGTTAGCAGGTCCTGATTCACTGGCTAAAGTTCTGCGTTAGTATGAGATGAATTCACTTTATTTTGAGGCTTTCCTGGAAGACTAGTGGGACAGAGAGCTCCAGGAAGACAGGTCAGACATTTTCAAAAGCAAGATTGTGACAAATTAATTACTGTTTTTGACCTTTTCCATCTGTTGTTTCTCTTTTCTAGACAGTAACAGAACCAGACCTGAGAAATAATCGCCTTTTAGATGAACTGGTAAAAAGCATGAATTTTGCACGGTATGATTCAGTTTTGTGACTAACCCCTAACCGCCTTTGCGCTTTGTGTGCACCTCCTCCCCATCCCCGTTCAGTTAGGGAGTGCAGGGTTGCATCCTGGAGTGGAAGAAGGGACGTGATGATAGCCACTGCACACATGCGAGGCTCTAATATGGAGTCATAGGGTCTTCTCTATGTGACAGAAAGTCTCCGCTTCTGAACAATGAAGAGTCAAAGTGTAGCTAAATTGGCTCTTTACTCATAGTTGGTGTTGTATTGCTACTGGGGTGTTAGGCTTTGAGGCTTTTTAGTGGACAGCACGAGAGAATATATGTGTTTATGCAGTTGTGTATACTAACACTTTCGTGTACACATACCTGTAATTGGTTCTGTTTGTATGTTTTAACCTATTAATCAGATTTACTCAGCATGTATAATATGGTATGCTGTGTGAGACATGCAACTGCTTCTCTGTAAAGTTCTCATATATAGCTTTGCTCCTTCACTGTCAAATGCATGAATGTGTGAATACGAGTTTGGTTACCCAAAGGGGTATAAAAAGGCATGTTTTACCAAACATGTCTGACATTGTTTTAATCATGTTATTAGTTCACATGTCCGTATATAGAACTTGTTGGCTTGTTGGAACATTCTTGGAGATACTTTACTTTGCTTCTAAAAATATCATCAGACTGCCATTAGAATTGTACATTTATTCATTTTCCTAATGCTCATTCCAGTAACTCTAGTTAGCTGTTTCCTTAGTGAGGCCACAGAAAGATGGTGTATTTTTCTAGATTAAGAAACTACGTGGTTCTCTGATTCTCCTGTTGAAGTAATTGCTTTCTTATTGTAGTCTCTTGTCTATTAATACTTTTTTTTTTTTGCAGGGGGGAGGGATATGTGTGGATGTGACATGTGTGCTTGTTAACATAGTTACACTTGCATGTGTGTGAGGGTATGGAAGCTGGAGATCAGTATTGGGTGTCTGTCTTTGACCACTCCCCACATTTTTGGGGAGTGTTTCTCACTGACTTGAAGTTCGAAAATTTAGGTAGGCGGACTAGCTAATAAGTTTCAGGGGTCTGCCTGTCTCTGCCTGGCCAGCCCCAACTTTTTATGGGGGTCCTGGGGCTAACTCAGGTCATCTTGCTTCCACCAAAGTCACTTAATGACTGAGCCGTCTCTTCAGCTTGTGTGTCTGTATTTGAAGCTCCCCGATGGGCTCTTGTCATTCTCCTGTGCTTGCTTTCTTGGCATTACCATTGTTACCGTCATCCTTGAGGTGCACATTTCTTGGAAGTTCACCATGTGCAGTGCTATGGTACGTCATCTGCAGAATGAATAGGGATGAAATAGAAGTTAATCGATATCATTACTTGTTTGAACTCTGGTTTAAGATTGATGAGGGAAGAACTTTAATCTTATGATGAAAATGTGAGGTATTTATATTGCTTGTTGATTTTATTTCTTGTCTTTCTCATCTGCCATTACCATTTCACATGCCATTTTGATTTTTAAAAATTTAATATTCTAAATTGAATAATAGGAAGATATGGGAAATAATTTAAGAGGTTTCAGATAAGGATGATATGGATCTTTTACATTTTTATTTTTATTTTACATTTACATTACATTACATTGACCTTTTGGCATTCATTTTCAAAGAACACACTTTTTCTTGGCTCGTTTTAAATGTTCTTAGCCAGGTGTGGTAGCTCACCTTCATTCTACCATTTGGGAAGCTGAGGTAAGAGGATCATGGGTTTGAGGCTAGCTTGGGTTACATAACAAGACCCTGTGTTTTAGGGAAGACATTTTTAATCTTCTGTTTTGAAGAAAAGTTTAGTTAGATTTTTTTGTTGTGTTTTTGTAAAGAGAGCATTATTCCTGCCCTAAGTGGTAAAGTATTATTTTTTTTTAATAGAGGTCAGTCTCCATTTATAGTATTGGTTTTATGAATTGTTTGGGTTGGTCAAGTTTGGAGCTTTCTTTTGGTACTCCATATGTAAGAATATACACATTTTAGTCCGACCTCTCCCCAAGGCAGTTGATGGTTCTTAGGGAATGAGGAGTCCTTTTCTTTTCTTTCTTTCTTATTTTGGAGGTAGAGTTTCTCTGTGTAGTCCTGGCTGTCCTGGAACCTGGAGATCTGCCTGCCTCTGCCTCCAGTGCTAGTATTAAAGGCATGCACCACTACCACCTGGCAAGAAGTCATTTTCTTTACTGAGGTAGCCATTGGTAAGCCTTCTCTGTTCTAGTAAGTAAACCCAGACCTATTCTCATGCATGCAACCCCAAGTAAATTCAGTAGGTCAAAACAAAACAGAAGACATGAAAGTAGGAAGATAGGACCAGGGCTTGTTGGGAAGAAGAGTTCCGAGGGAATGGGGGGAGGGTAATAGAGGGCAAGGGAGGTGAATACGGTCAGAGTACAGTTTTATATGTTTGAAATTGTCAGAGAATTTACAAGAACATTTTAGATAACAATTACAGCAGATAATGCTCTTAGCATCTTACAAGCAGGATGTGAGTTCCCCTGTGGTTGTGGTTGTGTTGTCATTGATAACATGCTGGCTTTACATTCAGGTGGCACTGGGCTCCAGTCCTGGTTCTCTAGTTATGATAACAATCAAGAGCTTTACCCTTTTGACCTCTGTGTCTTCATCTGAAAAGATAAATGATGCTGTTGATGGGATTACAGATGAGAGTTATATGAAGGTCTTTTCCATAGTACTTAGTACATAGGAATCCAAAACCAGATTTCTGTCACTACTGTGCATTTCCATCTCACACATTGATTCTTGTTTGATTCTTAGCACCCACATGGCAGCTCACAAAGGTCTCTAACTCCAGTTCCAGGAGACTCAATTCCTTCTTCTGGCCTCTGCAGGCACTGCATACACACAGATACATGTAGGTAAAAACTCATACATGTAAAATGAAAAAAGACAAAAAGAATGCTTTAGCGACCTCTGTCTTCTTCATCAGATGGCTCTAAGCTGCTGTTTGTGTGTTTCAGATTAGAGCAAACACTTGCAGGGACTCCAGTGGTGTAGATAAATTCATTATATGGCCTTAATGACTTATGCACCTAGAGACATATTGTGAGTTTTGATTCTTGGCCACATTCTACATTCTAAAGAGATGAGGTTACTTGTGTAGTTAACAAGTCAGCAAGCTCCTCTATACTTGCTGAGTCACAGTTATTATATTCAGAGCAAGATGCCCTGTGGCGGGCTGTTTTGTGGCTCTGCCAGCTGTCTGAGATCTAATCGGTATGCTTTCCAACTAGATGACTTGATGACTTGGACCTGGGACTTTATTTACCCATTTGTATAATAAACGGCTGATTCCTTTCTGATAGTCTTTCCAGCTCTAAAAGTCCATAGTCTGTCCTTGAGATAGCTGAGTGCCTGCGATAATGCTGTTAGGTTCTGCAGTGCCAGACCACTTTGATAAGGATTCAAGAGAAAGTGACCGGTTCCGTTTAAATGCAAACATCAATTGGGAAGTTAGCATTTTCACTCAACTTACTTTAGTGTATATAAATTACAAAATGTTTCTTGGTTTTAGATGGTCTCTCTTTTCGTGTTTCTCAAGTCTTCAAACAGACTTTTCTTCCACATTTCAGACTCCTGTCAACAGCTTATCTCATATTTATCCTTGAGCCTCCTAAGAGCAAATAATGCTTAACATGTGCAGAGGGGATTGCTGATGCTCTTCTCTGTTCCATACCTGCTCTGATGATTGCTGTGACTCTGTGAACAGCAGCACTGGTGTGTGTGTGTGTGTGTGTGTGTGTGTGTGTGTGTGTGTGTGTGTGTGTGTGTGTGTGTTGGACGTGTGTGCCATGGTATGTGTATGGAGGTGTTGTGGAATATTAGTTGAAGATGTGTTACATTCATTTATGCCATGGAATATTTGTTTAATCATGCAAAGATGTGTTGCATTCTTTTATGTTGCATTTGTTTAACTCTATGAAGCTGTTTGTTACTTCGCCTGTCTAAAACACCTGATTGGTCTCCTAAAGAACTGAATTGCCAGTAGCTAGGCAGGAGAGAGAAATGGGGAAGGGGGGCTGGCAGGCAGAGAGAATAAATAGAAAGAGAGAGAGAGAAAAGAGAGGAGCAAGAAAAGGAAAAGGAGAGGAGGACATCAGGGGCCAGCCACCAGCTACACAGCCAGGCATGGAATAAGAAGGAAAGAAAAGATATACAGAAATGGAGAAAGGTAAAAGCCCAGAGGCAAAAGGTAGATAGGATAATTTCAGTTAAGAAAAGCTGGATAGAAATAAGCCAAGCTAAGACTGGGCATTTATAAGAAAGAATAAGTCTCTGTGATTATTTGGGAGCTGGGTGGCAGGTCCCCCAAAGAGTAAAGAGTTAAAACAAACAAACAAACAAACAAACAAAAACCCAACAACGTGGAGATCAAAGGACAACCATCAATATGATTCTTTGCTTTTCCACTTTGTTTGAGATGAGATCTCTTTGTCACTGCATAAACAGCCTAGCTGGCCCCTGAGCTTCTGGAATTTGTCTTGTGTCTGCCTCTCATCTCTCCACAGGGGCACCCTGGGATTGCAGGTGTTGTGTTACTACATCTGGCTTTTATATGACTTCTGGGGACCCAAACTCAGGTTGTAGAGCTTGTATGGTGAGCACTTTTACCTACTGTCTGCTCAGCCCTGCACTGAAACTATCCTTTTAACTACTTTAGCTAAAGACTTTGGTGTCTCTCTGAACTTGCTTTTATTACCACTTAATTTGTTAATCCATTAATAAGTCCCACTGGCTGTATCTTCACAATGCTTCCCAAGGCTGAGTCTTTGATCTCCTTACTATCTAGAATCTGGTCCAAGTCAGTGCCATCCTACTGGACCGTGACCATTTCCTAATTGTATTCTTACTTTTACTTAGGCTCTCCTAAAATCCTTCCTGATGGTAGTAACTAAAGTGATTCCTTTAAAGCAAAAAGTCGGGTCATGTGTAAAGCCATTTAGTGGCAATTCCTTGTGTTAGGCAGTTTTACAGTGTGATAATAAAGTGCCCAAGCTGTGCACCTTATAAAGAGAAAAGATGACTTTGGTCCTTGTGGAGCTTCCAGTCCAAGATTGGGAGGTCTTCTGGGCTTACGTCTTTGGTGAGGATGGTACGTCACAGTGAAAGGACATTTTGGAGCAAGTGCTTGCATTCCAGGTGAGAGACAGAAGATGAGGACTGTGCCCATAGTCCTGGGTTAGGACATGCTCCAGTGCTTGCATTCCAGGTGAGAGACAGAAGATGAGGACTGTGCCCATAGTCCTGGGTTAGGACATGCTCCAGTGGCCTTAAGGACCTCCCATCGTGACCTACCTCTTAAATTAGATCCACAGCAACCCCCAGACTAATACCATTGAACACTCAGGCCTCCAGGGAGCATTTAACATCCAGATGGTTGAATTCTCCATCTCACTGGAGCAGGAGCCCAAGTCCTTTCTGAGTTAGTCCTCTGGTTGCCTGCCGTCTTGCTTCCTCTCAGCCTTCATGTTTGCCCTTTATTCAGTTGCAAGCCTTCTTGTTTCTCCGCTATGTTGCTTTTAGGCCTAGACTTTGTGCTTGCTGTTCTTTGTAGGTGAACCAGTGTCTTCCCAGGTGGCTGCCTGGCTAAGACCCACTTTCTCTGAACTCTGTTGTCATAAGTTACCTTCTTAGGGAGGCTTTCTGACCAGCTATAAAGAACCCTTACCTCATCTTCTCATGCTTGGCTGCATTTTTTTTTTATTTTGGTTTAATTTAGTTTAGCTTTTCTTGCGTGGGGCTGGCACCCTGAGCCTTCCATATGCTAGGGAATCTCTCTACCACTGAGCTGTTTTCTTAGCCCTTTGGCTCCATTGTATTATTACTTTTCACATAGGTTGTATAAGCCTGTTCTTTCCCCCTTATTTTATAACTTTCAAGAGTATAGGATTTGCTTTCTATTGTGCTTCTCTGGCAAGAGTAGGTGGTACTGGAATAAGTTAATGGATTTTAATTTTAGCCCTGAGAATAGTTTATTGTGACCTTGCTGCTACTGTCTGCCATAGTCTTTATTGGCATGCCTTGAAATAAGAGAGCCATTTGGAATTGAATTCATTTGAATTGTGGAAGAAAGGCAAAAATTATCACTAGTATGCTGAGAGGATCAGTGGTGTCTCATCTGCGGTTGAATACTGTCTCCTCTCTTTGTCATTACGAGAGGAAGGCTTTTTTCCCAGAACCTTCTTTGTACTAAATCAGAGACTGGAAGGAAAAGAGACTACTGAAGAGGATGGTTCTGTGTGTGTGTGTGTGTGTGTGTGTGTGTGTGTGTGTGTGTGTGTTTTCAATTTCTGTTTCTTCTCTAAGACCAAGGTCCTTAGGTGTTTGTTTTAGTCTTCCTGCTTTTCCCTCCCTCCAACTTCCTCCTCTTCCGTCTTCCCTTCTTTCCCCATCTCCCTCCTCTTGTCTGATCTCTCTCCCTCCTTTTCTTGGTTTTTGTTAGACATGGCATCACTGTGTACCTGAAATTGGGCTTGAATTAGAATCTTATGCTTCAGCCTCCGGAATGCTGAGATATAGGCACACGCCATCACCCTTAGCTTAGTTTTTCTTTATTTTTAGTCTTTGTTGTTTTAATTGTGGAAGAATTTAAATATATTTGAAAGTAGAGAAGATAGTATAATGAACCCACCCTCTTTCCTACTTGTACCTAACCTTTCCTGTGGGAGTGAAAATTTTTCTTTCTCTTTTTGTAGTTTTTATGCTTATCCCTGGCCCCTGTTTTTGTTCTTACCTTTGGCTCAGGACATTTTCTGCAGTTTTAAGAGAGATGGTGGTGGTAGACATCTGTGTCTGGTCAGTCGTGGGGGAGATGTCTCATTTGCTATCACTAATGATTGATACTAGCGAATTGTTGTTTTTTAAGTAACATTTTATCAGATTGAGTTCTAGTCCTGCCAGGGCTGCATAGTGAGACCCTGCACAGAAAGAAAAGAAGAGAGAAGAGGAAGGAGGGAGGGAGGTAAACAAAGAAGCAGAGCTTTGATAAACCCAGACAGGCAGGAAAGGAAAACTATACTCCAGTAGTCTTTCACAAGCAGTCACAAAAATCATTGGCGAAATAGTAAAACCTAGGCATAAAAATTTAAGATACATTGAAAAATCAACTAATGTAACTATATTAGCAAAATAAAGTAGAAAAATGTGTCTAATCATAATCAATGCAGAAAATGCATTTGATACAATTCGGTACTAATTCATTGTAAAAATAAACCTCTCATCTGTTTCTTTTGAATATTTTATGGCTTGATTAGTAGCTATTTTCTTTTTTCTTTGTGAAGATTGGGGACCAAATGTTGTAGAAGCTGCAAAACCTTTCTTTGATTTTGAACAAAAGTGTATTTTGTTCTGACAAGCAATTAAATTATCAGCTCTTGTTCCATTAAAGGTTGGTGCAATGTAGTATTAGATTCTATTTTAATTTTACACACACATGTATACATGCATACACATGAGTTTTACACATATAGAAGTAAACACACATATGCATGAGTGCACATTTGTGTAAACACACATTCTGTGCACACAACGTGGTCCCCTTTGCTGAGGTACAGCCTCTGAGACATCTCACCACTATCCCCATGGTCTTCATAAGAGTATTTCCCCTTTGGCTGGGCTAAGCTAAACATCTTTCCAGCACTGGCCGCTGGCATCTGTTTACCCATGTCTGTTTCCTACCAGACCCCTGTGGGTTTTTGTTTTTTTTTCTTCCTTGTATACCCTGGAGATGATTGCAGATGGGTGAGAAGAAAAGTTTCTTTCTTGTAGCTCCCACATGCCAAGCACCCTGTATCCCTAGTCCTCATCACCTCTGCCCAGAATTGTGCGCTCCTCTTTCTAGACGGTGAGTTTGGTTGTGATTGTGGCATAAATTCTGTGTTTCAGAGAAACAAGGGTTAATTGGGAAGATCCCATTTATAATGTCTAATTTGACATCTTAATTTCCCATCTTTTTTCCCTCCTTTGGTATGTGTTTCAAGGACTCGCCTGTTGCAGTTTGCTTTAGAGTCACCACCCATATCTCCCGTGTCTTCCACCTCAAAGAAAGTTGCTGTTAAAGTACATAATACTGAAGCCATCAGACATCCTGTCAAACAGGGGAACAGGCTAATGGACAAGTTTCTGGTTAGAGAAACTGGTGAGTGTGTAGCAGACTTGTTGGGAAAAGAAAACGACAGGAAATTCAGCCCTCACAAAGAGATAAGCACCTCTGCTGAGATTAAAGAGACAAGTCTGGTTGGAAAGGCGGTACTTGGCCCCTCGGATGCTAATGGTCCTGTGACACCCTCTACATCCACCATGAAGCTGGATACTAAAGGTAGGAAGTCATTTTTATGTATGCCTTTTCAAACTTAAGGAAATCTCATTCATTGGTGTAAGATTAATAGGCAGTACTTTTGAGGGGAAGTAAGAGGGATAGACCAGGTTTCACCTTACCATGCCTCAGACATTGATGCAGTCAGTGCTTAGAGGTAGGTTTCTTGTCTTTTTCATAGAATAGGAATCAGGAGATTCTTGCAAAAGTGAAATAGTTTAATAGTTAATGCTTCTCAGGGTAGCTTTCTGTTTTTAGGTTGGAACCCTCTCACCTCCAGTTCCAGTTAACTTTTTTTTTCTTTTTTCTTTGAGACAGGGTTTCTCTGTGTAGTTTTGGAGCCTGTCCTGGAACACACTCTATAGACCAGGCTGGCCTCGAACTCACAGAGATCTGCCCAGCTCTGCCTCCCAGTGCTGGGATTAAAGGCGTGCACCACCAACCACCACCCGGCCATCCATCCAGTTAACTCTTAAAGAGGCCTCCATTTTATACTACTGGTTGAACATTTCCTTGATGCTCTGCCTGTAGCTGAATGCCTTTTGGCATATGACATGTGCTTCAGTGACCCTGCCTTATTTCCTAGCTCTCCCTCCCAGAATGTCTCTGAAGCCAAGTTGTTATCTCACTCTTCCTATAGTGCACCCATAGACTGGCAGAGTAAGTGGAAACCAGAGCTGGTGTGCCACCTGTTTGGGAAATACAAGTTTACTAGAACACACTCTCCTCCTTGGTTTACATATTGTCTCTGATGTTTTCATGCTGCATTGGTGCAGTGGCCTAATGGTGACAGAGCCAGGATTATGGTGTGAAGGGTGATCTGGAGAGCCCACAACCAATCTCTATGACTCCATTTTTTACTAGGAATGTGTGTCTTTAGCAAACCCATACAACCCACAGTTGAACGCCAGTAGTGTTTGTGAGGATTTTTGTTTGTTTTTCGATGTTTTTAGCTTCACAGGGACATGTTTTCAACTCTTGTAGAATTTTTTTTTTCCCAAATGAAATCTTAGAATGAATCATAACATATAAAATAGATACAATTCTCTGTGTTCTATTAAAAATCGGAGTAGGGAGCCTAGAAAGTGTGGCCACAAGTCTCCCTTCTTTGGCCACTGCTTTTTACCTGTGGTACCTCCATATTCACTGCATCTCCACAAAACTGCATCGTTAATAAGGCATACCTGGCCCAGGAGCAGGGAGGGTCAGTAGGTTCAGCCAGATTGCACCAAGCCAGCCAGGCCTTGGTTTTATCATTGTTGTAACTTCGTTACAGAGTTGTTGAGATTGCTTCTGTCCTGTGTAAGATGGTCCTAGGGCCTGGAAAAACTCAGCATTATGGTTTGCTGGTACCTTGGTAGAAAAGTTACAACTTCCAAACTAACTTGCAGTCTCTAGGCCTAGGATTCTGATTATGTGACTTCCCACAAAGTAGCTAGTTACTAGTAACCTGTTTGTCTGTTCTTCTTGCTCTTGTGGGTTTTTCTAAGAGTAGATTATCTGAGATTCTGTCTTTTCTCTTAATTTTACCCTTTCTCTGGCTAACAAAGTCTCTCTCTCTCTCTCTCTCTCTCTCTCTCTCTCTCTCTCTCTCTCTCTCTCTCTCCCTCTCTCTCTCTCTCTTTTTAAATGCAGTGTCTTGTCCTGTTTGTGGGGTCAGCATTCCAGAAAATCACATCAATAAGCATTTAGACAGTTGCTTGTCACGTGAAGAGAAGAAGGAGAGCCTCAGAAGGTAAGAAAGCTGGGCTTAGCCGCTGCCCTGCTTTGGCTGGGTGCTTCTGTGGGCTTAGCCGCTGCCCTGCTTTGGCTGGGTGCTTCTGTGGGCTTAGCCGCTGCCCTGCTTTGGCTGGGTGCTTCTGTGGGCTTAGCCGCTGCCCTGCTTTGGCTGGGTGCTTCTGTGCTTTGTAGACATGCATCAAACTAGGACTCCTTTTGTCCTGGTGACTAGTACTCCTGTTTCCTTTACTGCTTCATTTTCTCTTTAAAAACTGGTTCCTTTGCCATCCCCTCACTCTTGTTCCTTCTTCAGCTCACACTCTGCCATATGTCAGTAGTGGATCAGTGCTTTAGAGAAACTACACACTTAGAATCACTTGTCTTTTTTTTTTTTTTTTTTGAGACAGAGTTTCTCAGTGTAGCCCTGGCTCTCCTGGAACTCACTCTGTAGACCAGACTGGCCTCGAACTCACAGAGATCTGCCTAGGTATGCACCACCACCACCAGGCTAATTCACTTATCTTTTAAACTTACTTTCTTTTTAGAATTCTCAAACTGTCATGTAAAGGCCTTGCCCCCCAAAAGCAAAAGACAGCTTGAATTTGGAACATATAAAATCTTTCATTAATTCTTAGGATGTTTTAATATTTTAAATAAAATCTTTAAATTTAATATTTTAAATATTAATTTAAATCAAACTTATTCTATATTTATCTCTCTGTCTGTATTTATGTGGTACTGAGAATTAAGTCCAAAGCCTACTACCTAGTGAGCTTCAAAAATCAGTTTTTGAATAGGCTGTTCTAGTAACATATGTAAAAATGATACAGAAGAATATTTTTGGCTCAGTATGGTGGTATATGCCTGCAATCCTACCATTCAGGAGGCTGAGGCAGGAGAATCAAGGGTAACATAGACTGCTGAAAAGTAGGTCAGCCCAAGCTGCATGGTGACATTCCAGCCCCACGACCTTATTTCCTCCTTCCTTGCCAGAGAGTGTATGGACGGTAATGATCTTCTCTCTTCCAAAACACCAAGAGATGGTATTACTAATAAATTGTGAGGTCAGTATTTGTACCTAAACTACTTTGCTACTTTGCGTCCTTTGTGTATCAAAGTCACCAAATCTAAAACTAGTCCACTTTGTGTGTTCAGGAGTGATGTTTTAATTGAAGTTAAATTGCAGGGCTTCAGGAATCTGGCTGGTAGAGAAAATAAGGAAGCAGAAGTGTTGTGTTTGAGTCTAGTGATGGTAGAGAGATGTGGTTGGGAGAGGCATGGGCAGCAAGGTTAAGGGCAGAGTTTATTTTTAGAGGTAGGGTACAGGCCTCAATCTTCTGCCATTGTCAGATAATAAGTAGAACAGTGATGAGCACAGCAAATGAAGTTGGGGAAAGGTGGAGAGAGTAGGTGGAATCGAGAGAGCTGTGGAAAAGAGGAGGCTGGCGATGGTAGTAGTGATGCCTGGAAAGTCGGAGGAGGGGAATGATTGGCTCTTCTGTTTTGAAGAGATTCTCCCCAAAGCCTTCTCTCCAAAGACAGGACCATCTTACTGATTTAATTATGAAAAGTACAAAGGTGCCACTCAATTTTTATGAGTAAGTTTGGAGTGAATGCAGGTTTCAAGGGACAGGCTGTACTGGTGTAACTTACAAAGGCTGACATTGAAGTGTGACGATGTGTTGCTAACTCACAGCACAAGCTGTCCTTGACTCCAAGCCTGAGCAGTCCTGTGCTCACAAGGACTGCCTTCTTGTACCCACAAGTTTGTTGATGGGAATAGAATTTAGATGTTTATGTCGCTTAGTGAGGGGGAATTTGGAGTAACACAAATCAGTAGCTCCCTGGATGACTTCGAGGCCATCAGTATCTCATGACTTGCTTTTTTCCTTCTGTTTCTCCTCAGAGAATGAGTCGGAAGTAGAAAAGCTGAATATTTTCTTCCTGGAGAGTAAGAAATTGGCACTGATAATCTTGTTTAGATTGTTCTCTTTCTAGACATATCTGTTGTATTCTTCTAATACTTTGAGCTCTGTTCAGTGGTGGTCCAAATCTGGCTGCACAGAGAGCCCTGCCAGTTGGTCCTCAGTACAACTTAGAACTGTATCACTCTTAGCAGATTGAAGGTGCTGAGAAGTCCTCCACTCAGGTAGCTGCTGGAGTTTGTTGTGTTTCATAACTCCTGATTTTTTTTTTACTCCAAGGTGGTGTTTTTTTTGTTTTTATTTTATTTTTTTGTTTTGTTTTTGTCCTCACAAGTCCTTTTCTACAAAATTGTTCAGGCACACTTAGGGAAACACGGAGCTAAATCTTTTTGGTTATATCCTGGCCTGGGTTTTGGTCACCTAAGAGTCTCTGTGTCTTACAGTCTCTTCTTACAACACTAAAATGTCAACTGCTGGGTGTGGCTGCTAGCTCTTACCCCACTCTATGTGGAACTGTCAGTTGGTTCAGAGTACAGCTCTTTCTATTGAAGTCCTGGTTCTGAGACTCTGACATGTGATTCAGCTTCAGAGTCAGCATAGACTCTGTGCTATGTCAGTGTCATGTGATGCTTGGGGAACTGCTTCTTTGGCTTCATAATGTCAAATTCTGTGTTTTATTTTAATTTTATATGCATTGGTATTTTGCCTGCATGTATGTCTGTGTGAGGATGTCAGAAGCCCTGGAACTGGAGTTACAGACAGGTGTGAGCTGCCATGTGGGTGCTGGGAATTGAACCTGGGTCCCCTGGAAGAACAGCCAGCCAGTGCTCTTAACTGCTGAGCCATCTCTCCAGCCCCCATAGATTCAAATTCTTGACAGAGATGGTTGATATCTGGTGTTGCTTTCATTGTGAATGCCAGTGGACACTACAAATCTTTGTTAGAATTTCATAGTCATAAATGTAATTGTCTGTCCTTGATAAAATAAATGTTTTAGTTAGAGACTTAATGAATTGTTCCTCCTTTTGTGCTTGTCATAAACACTGCAAAATGATTCAGTTGAACTTCCTACTGTGATTTTATTTTACCATAATGTCAGCAATCTTGTAGAGCCCAATTGGATGACATTATAAGAAGAATGGTTTGGGAAAAATATACTCTGTTGAGGTTTGCAGGTCTTTTTATAATTAAGTAGTTATTTCTGGCTTTCAGGCTTTACTAACAGAGCATGAAAGAGATTTAGCCAGAAAATGATCCTTGTGCGAGTAGAACTGTTTTATCTATACTTGACTGTAATAGTGCTCTCAGTATGACCTTTGGACTACAGCCTCAGATTTACCTTAGGAAACTGGAAAGTAAAGATTTTCAGTTTCCACTTCAGGCCTGCACCATGTGGCTGCGTGCTGCAGAGAAAGCATCTGCATTTAAAACACACTGTCCTGGTAGTTCTGAGGTCCCTGAAGTTTGGGAAGCACAGCTTTTTTGAACTCTCCATGCTTACCTTTTAAAAAATTTTTTACTTTAAGCCCTGTTACCCTTAAGATCTTACTAATTTGCTGTTGTTATTTTGAAATGATTGCAATTGTAAAGACCACTTTGAAAACTGCTTATTATGTACTTAATTGCCCATAGGGCTGAACCTCTAGTCAGAATGCATATACTGACATCCTTGCCCATCTAGCTTCGTTTGTGTGGGTGTGGATAGGCATGTTCATGTGTAGGGGGTGTATGTGTATGTTAGCATGTGTGTGAAAGACAGAGGTCAATCCTGGGTATCATACTCAGGAGTGTATTCTACCTTGTTCTTTGAGGCAGAGTCTCTCAATGGGACTTGGCCTTGCTGGTTAGTTAGGCTATCTGGCTAGCAAGCTCTAGGGATGCCCTTGTTTTCACATCCCGAACTTTTTATATGGATGCCAGAGGTCAAACTCATGCTTGTGAAGCAAGCACTTCATTGACTAAACTAAGAGGATCTCCCTATCCTCTTCTTTTTTATCTTAATGGCTCAACTATTTTTCTAGTCAGCCAGGTGTTATGAAGGTAAATTACTCTTTTATTGAGACTGTTTGATAATTCACAATAATCCTCAGATCTCTTTCTCTCTCTCTATCTCTCTTTCCATTTTAGTTCTGCTCACAAAAGGAAGCCGCTGCCCAAAACTGTGTATAACTTGCTCTCTGACCGTGATTTAAAGAAAAAGATGAAACAGCATGGATTATCTATTCAAGGAAACAAACAGCAACTTATTAAAAGGCACCAAGAATTTGTACACATGTACAATGCCCAGTGTGATGCTTTGCATCCTAAATCAGGTAAAGTAATACATTTGTGCTCATCTTTGGATAAAGCAAGTATGTAGCTCAGAGATTATAAGGAAGAATTTTCATAAGTACCTTTTTGGCAGTAGTTGAGATATGCAAATGAATTTTTTCGAGAGCTACCTGGAGAACACTATGCTAAGACCATCTTCTTCTCAGGTGGTCTCATAGCCTCAGTTCCCTTTGCAGAGGAATCACTTTTGCCAGTTTTTTGAGTATCTTTCCAGAGATGGCTTGGTGGTAAAATGATCTAGAGTCCTGCAGTCCTACTACTTTATGCTGAGTGACTGTGAACAAGTCACATCTCTGTACTTTAGTTTTCTCATCTATAAAATGAGGATTATAATCCTACATGTTGTATAATGTCTTTGAGGTGGTAGGATGCATCCAAACTATCTAGTACAGTACCTCAGCAAGTTCTTAGAACTCCATGGATGTTTCCATTATGATTATTATACACAAACAGGCATCCTTAGTTGTTAGTGATTCATAAAAATGTCAGTATCCTCCATGTAGTTTTCACTTGACCATGCATACATTTTGGAGTTCTTTATAGGTAAGAACTCCAAAATTTAGAATTGCTTTATGTTTGAAAAAATGAAGACTGATATGAAAAAAACAGAAAAGTGCATGTGTTACGTTAAATTTTCATTAAGTGAAAATGCTTCCTAGATTATGGTCAATATTCTAGAATCTCCTTCCTCCCAGTCTGGTTGTCTCCATACATCTGACCACTGTCTATTCACTCTGCCTCCTTGAGCTAAATGAGTTGGGTAATAGCCACAAGTTTATCCCTAGTTTCAGTGACTTCATGGTTAAAGCTCTTTTTTTGCTACACTACATTTCTGTCCACTACTTTACGCAGGCTCAAGCCCCTTTTCTTTTCAAATTGTACACTTTTTATTATTTTTCTGTTCTGTTTTTTGTGAATTAGGATAAGTGTATTGAGCAGTAGCCATGCTATAGCTTGAATGTTACACTATTACAGGATTTCTTCCACCAAACAAATTAGTTCATTACTTTTTAATTTAGCCTCACTGAAATAGTCAAGACGTGGGCGGAATGCAGTCAGATTCTTTGATAGAGTATAACACAAATGGCCTCTACTCTTGTCCTAGTTCTTTGTAGAGCTCTTACCCTCTGAAGCCTCTTGAGTACTTCATTGTCCACATCTTCATTGTCCACATCTCAGCATTCTGGTCTTCCTCTTTTCTACCACAATGGCCTTTTAGGCTGTACTTAGAGTATTCGAGGACTCTAGCCTGCAGCCTCACACTCTTCGAAAGCCCTTCTTCATGTTACTTCCAAAGGCCTGTGACTTGCATGGCCAGGTTTTTCACAATTGACTTCATTTTCTGTACTGATGTTTTGTTTTTGTTTTTCAAGACAGGGTTTCTCTGTATAGCCCTAGTTGTCCTGGAACTCGCTCTGTAGACCAGGCTGGTCTTGAACTTAGAGATCCACCTGCCTCTGCCTCCCAAGAGCTGGCATTATTAAAGGTGTGCACCACCAAGCTCAGCTTGTTCTGTACTACTTTTTTTTTTTTTTGTATCGGTTATTTTTCTTATAGGTGTGACCAAATACCCGAGAAGAAGCAACTTCAAGAAGGGAAGATTTATTTTGACTGATTGAGGTGACACATGAGTGGGAAGGCATGGCAAAGTTTATGATTCTGAGTGTGCAGCTGAGACTCTTACCATCTCAGTGTGCCAGGAAGCAAAAAAATGGGAGTGCTGGCATTCTGTAGAAACAGCCTGCAATTGGTGTTCCTGTGTCTGAGCTTCTCAGTTGTGTTTTTGTTATTGTTTTATGCTTTCTTGGTAGCCGCCCTTGGCCTTTTGCAATCCATCAGAAAGTGTATTTGTGATCTTAATCAGATGTAGGTCATTGCAGACTATCTCCTGGACATTGCTTTTTGTCACCTGATGCTCCTGATCACTCTCAATCTTGCCACCTGTTTTTGGGTTTTAGGACATGTAGTTGCTGTTTGACTTGATGGATTCAAGCAAAATTATAGTTGGATAGATTGTCTAGTTTTTCCTTGTCATTATAGTGAGGGTAATGGTATTGTTAGCTCTCTACACCCTAAAGAGAATCAGAAATATTTCTGAAGATACCTTAAACCCTTACGTTGTACCCACCCTAACATAATTTTCTTACTACTGTAGAGTGTGCCAGATGTCTTGAATGGTACTTGTGTTAATGCATGGGATAGAGTGTAACTGCTTTTCCTTTCCTATGATACCTGGACTCAGTAAGTTCCCAAGGAGATGAAGTTCTTGCTCACAGATGATACTGTTTATATTGCTTCTACCAGCTTTACAATATTAAGGAGGCAGATACATATCAGTGCTTGGAAAAGAAAATCTTTTGTTTAAGTGAAGCAGTTGCTCTGAATTTAAAAATAAACTTTAGTAGGATTATTTGAAGTTGATATAGATGGGAGATTGAGGTGGGTGTAGAGGGAGATTGAATGAGGTGGGAATAGAGGGGGGATTGACTAAGAAGTACTCCCATTTCCCCCATGTATTTACCCTACAATGTAACCAATTATCAAGCCATCCTAGTTTTTTGTCTACCTTTTAAAGCTTTTCCATAGAATATTTTGAAGTGATTTGACTTAGTATCTTTTTACATATAAACGAGTATAAATGATGATCAGTTCTTATTCTGTACCTCATACACTTAAATAGAGGGACTTTTGATACTAAAAGACAGCATTTGCAAAATTTGCACTATTTATGTTTAAAGAAAGGCATTTAATGTGTGATCTCCCTGCTATGGGTGGTTTGAAACTTTCTCCAGATACTGGTTTTGGAGGCAAGGGCATTTCCTGTGGTATTTGCAGATCTTTCTCTCTCCTTGCCAAGTTTCACTACATTTAATATATTGGAGTTTGAGTGGTTATCCTCTAAGAATTTAACTCATAGTAGTAAATTAATTCTCATATTTCATTGGAATTGCTGTTTATATATTCAAGAGAGAAGGCAAAAATAACATGGTATTTCTTACAGTTTTATTTTGATATGTAGAAGAGTTGAATGTTAAAACTCCACATTCTTCTTTTAATGTATTACTTTGAAATATTGTTAGACTTACTATTTTAATTACTGTTTTATTGTTGTGATGAATGAAACACCAAGACCAAGGCAACTTTAAGGAAGCACTTAACTGAGGCTTGCTTATAGTTTCAGAGGGTGAGTCCATGACCATTATGGCAGTGGGGGGCATGGTAGAAGGCGCTTGGCATGGCATGGCATTGGAGCCATAGTTGAGAGTTCATATCTGATGTTCAAGTTTCAGGCAGAGAAGAGAGTATGTGGGACTGGGCCTGAGTGGGCCTAAGTGGGCTTTTGAAACCTTAAAGCCCAGCCCTAGTGACATACCTCCTCCAACAAGGCCACACTTCCTAATCCTTTCCAAATATTTCCACTAACTGGGGACCTAGCATTCAAATTTATGAGTCAGTGGAGGCCATTCTCCTTCAAACCATCACACTTATTTTTGAAAACTTGAAAAAAGAAGGCAGAAATCTGCATGTATTTATTCCTATCTTTATTGTTTAACCTCATATAGGCATAGAGTAATGATCAAACAGTGTGGTTAAGTGGTTATTTTTTCTTCTTATTTTAATAGCTGCTGAAATAGTCCAAGAAGTTGAAAACATGGAGAAGACCAGGATGCGCCTTGAAGCCAGTAAACTAAATGAAAATGTATGTTGACTCTCTTTCAGTGTCTGTGTAGTAGTGCAGGAAGAACAAATTGAATTGAACTTTTAAAATTAAAAGCTAGCCTTTGTAAGTTCTTTTTAGTAGAAAATGTACTGGAACACATTACTATTTAGAGTATTAAGATTTCCTTACAGCTCGTGTCTTCGGACAGTATTTGTGTTTAACAAACTTAACAGCATAAAGTACAGCCCCAAGTAGAGTTTTGCTTATAAGCTGGAGTCATATAGACAAAGCTCTTGTGCCTCTGTTTCCTGTCTGCCATGAGGTAAAGACACTCCTCCACCACTTATCCTGCCACTGTGGTGTTCTGCCCAGATGCCTGGGGCCAAGCAGCCATGGTCTGAACACTGAACCAGCATGCGAGCTATAAGCTAGGAAAATGAGTATGTCACTAGGACACACTGGAAAAGAGAAACAACTAAAGAAAAATGAACTGGGAGGTGATGGTGCATGCCTTTTCTCAGCACTTGGGAGGCAGAGGCAGGTGGATCTCTGTGAGTTTGAGGCCATCTTGGTCTACAAACCAAGTTCCAGGACAGCCTGAGCTGTTACACAGAGAAACCCTATCTTGATAAACAAAAACAAAACCCCAAAACAAAATTAAAAAAAAAAAGAAAGAAAGAAAAATAAGAATATTCTAAGATTTGTGATCTTTATAAACATCTATGCATAATCTTCATAAGTGTTAAGAATGAGTTCTGGGTTTACTCTGCTATTCCTGATGACTTTTGTAGCTCTTAGGAGAGACAGTAGGACCAGGATTCACATTCACTAACAATGTATCTTTTATAGTTACCTTTCCCAAGTTTCTATGATTCATGGGCCAATTTTTAATAATATGATTTAAAGAAAATAGGCAATTATATAGCTGCAACACAATTGCCTACCATCTGGAAAGTTTTTTTTTTCTAAGATTGTATTTTCATTTACATGTGTGTGTCTTTGTGTGTATATATATATATATATATATGTGTGTGTGTGTGTGTGTGTGTGTGTATATATACATATATATATGTATATATATATATATAGTGTGTGTGTGTGTGTGTGTGTGTGTGTGTGTGTATGCCTGTGGAGGCCAGACAAGGGTGTTGGATCACCTGGAACTGGAGTTAGAGGTATTAGTGAGCTTCCTGATAAGAGTGCTGGGAACTAAACTTAGGTCTTCTGAAAGGGTAGCAAATGCTTCTAACTTCGGAGTTATCTCTTCAGCACCATTAATCATCAGCTTTCTCCTCTTCCTCCTTCTCTTCTTCTTCCTCTTCTTTTTTCCTTCCACCTTTCTTATTTCTATATTTTTTTTTTTTTTTGAGATAGGGTCTCACTTTGTAGCTTTGGCTGGCCTGGAACTCACTGTACAGATCAAATTACCTCAAACTCACAAAGCTCTGTCTACCTGCCTCAGCTTCCCAAGTACTGGGATTAAAGGTGTGTACCAGCACTCCCAGCTAATGTAATACTCTTTTTTTAAAATTTTTATTTAAAACGTATTTTTTCATAGGATATATTTTAACCATTCTTTTTCTTCCTCCACCTCCTCTCTATTTCTTAACCCACTCAACTTCATGTTCATTCTCTTTCCCCATTATTGGAATAAAAAATAATAAATAAATAAATAAATAAACAAAAATAATAAATACATAAATACATACAATAAAAAATTGTAGCACGAATTCTAATTGGTCTTAACAATAAAAACCCGGAGTCAAATATTGGGGTAAATGCTGAAAGATCAGAGAAGCAGAGCAGCCAGCCACTAGAACGGCTTCTTACCTCTAAGAATCCTCAGACTGAAAGGGCTGAGCTCCTGTCTCCACCCTGCTTTATCATTTCCTCTCCCCACCCAGCCATATCACTTCCTGTTAACTCCTCCCAAATGCTGGCATTAAAGGTATGTGTCACCACTGCCTGACCTCTAGTGGCTAGCTTCTGCACTTTGATATCTAGGCAAGCTTTGTTTGTTAGAGCACAAACAAAATATCACCACAAAAAATCCAAAAAACACAATAAAAATCAGAAAAACCAAAAGAAATAGAATAAGACAAAAAATAATAAAGTGCACCCCCCCCCCCCCCAATGGATTCCATTTTGTTTTGGCCAACTGCTAGGCATGAGACCTGCCCTGGAGTGTGGTTAATATACCCAGTGACACACCATTGGAGAAAACTGATATTCCCAGTGCCAGCAGGTATCAATTATAAATAGCTTCTTGGTTAGGGCTGGGACTTTGTGTTCACTTCCCCTTCTTAATGCTGGGAATTTTGTCTGGTTTGAACTTGTGCAGGTCTTGTGCATACTATCACAGTCTCTGAATTCATATGTATATGAGTCCTGTTGTGTCTGGAAGACACTGTTTCCTCGGAGTCCATCACCTTTGGCTCTTATAGTCTTTCCACTTCCTCTTCCATATAGATCCTTGAACTTTGAGGGGAGGGGTTTGATAAAGACATCCCATTTAGGGCTGAGTGTTCCAAAGTCTCTCACTCTCTGAGCATTGTCCAGTTGTGAATCTCTTTGTTAATTACCATCCACTACAAGAAGAAGCTTTTCTGATAATTTAATTAGCAGTATGTCATTAGGAATCTGTAGACAAATTGCTAAACAGTCTTATTAATTAAAAAAAAAAAAAAGACCACCCAAGAGCCAGGTATTGGGATGAATTCTGAAAGATCAGAGAAGCAGAACAAGCCACAGCTAACCTCACCTCGCCAACTTCTCAGCCAATCCTGTTTCCTCAAACTGGAAGCCTCTGAGTCCTCATCTGAATGGATCTCAGCTGAACTGCTGCTAAAAGCCTGAAAGCTTAAAAGCCTCTAGTTCCTGGTCCTCACGCCTTATATACCTTTCTGCTTCCTGCCATCACTTCCTGGGATTAAAAGCGTGTGTGTCACCAGGCCTGGCTGTTTCCAATGTGGTCTTGAACTCATAGAGATCTGGATGGATCTCTGCCTCCCAAGTGATAGGATTGAAGGTGTGTATGCCACCATTTTCTGGCCTTTATGTCTATCTAGTGGCTGTTCTGTTCTCTGACCCCAGATAAGTTTATTAGAGTGCACAATATATTGGGGGACACAATATCACCATAGGAATCATTTTATTGCTTTGTTCCATAATAGGGTTTCCTCTAGATCAATGGCTATCTAGTCACAGGTTCTTGACCACTTTAACAGTGTCAGGTATGGACTCCAGCTCATGGAGTGGGCCTTAAATCCAATAAAATAAAAGTAGTTATTCCTGTAATATTGTGCCTCTATTGTACCAGTATACCTTGCAGGCAGATGTCTGTTGTAGGTTGCAGAGTTTGTAGCTGGGTGATATTAATAATTTTCTCCTCAGGTAGTATGCAAGAATACTTTCTAATACCATCAACAATAGTCAGTAGGGGTGAAGCTTCTAGCTGGGCATCAGCTCAATTTCTCCATGTTTGATGACATCAATAATAGGGCCTTACCATCAGGGTATAGAGAATAACAATAACCAATGTAGCTTTGGCAATAACTTGTATTTGGAGGTGTCTGTGGGACACCTTTGGCCAACGATTTAACAAGATGTTACTGGAGGTTTTTCTTGGTGACATAAGATGTCTAATTGGGGCACTGACTCCATTTAAATTTCTTTCACATATGTATATATTTTAGGAAGCTTCTATAGTAATAGATTTCCACATGGCATTTCAAAAAGCCTTTAGTGTTAGGCGTCCCTCTCTATAATCCCTCCTTTCTTCTGCCCTTCCATTCCCCTTCCATTTAGTCCTCCTAATTTCCCCTTTATCTCTTTATAGTACTGTATTCTATTTCCTTTTCCTTGGAACATCACACCCCTCCCTGGTCCCTTACTAGCTACCTAACCTCTGAGGTTATTTGGGTTGAAATACATATGTCTAAAGCTTAAAAGCTAACACCCATATACAAAAGAACACATGTATTATTTTTCTTTTTAGGTCTAGGTTACCTCATTCATGATGATTGCTTTTAGCACCATCTATTTACCTGCAAATTTCATTATTTCATTTATCTTAGTAGCTGAATAGTCCATTTATCAGTTGATGGACATGTAGGCTATCTGCAATTTATGGCTATTTGACTAGAGCAGCAATGAACATGGATGAGCAAGTATCTCTGTAGTAGGATGTTGAATCTTTTGGATATATACCCAAAATGGGTATAGGTAGATTTTGTGGTAAATTGATTTTCAGCTATTTGAGGACCCTCCACACTGATTTCCATAGTGACTATACCATCTTGCATTCCCACCAGCAGTGAATAAGTATTCCCTTTTCCCATATCCTCACCAGCATTTATTGTCATTTGTTTTTACTGATTTTGGTCATTCTGACTGGAGTGATATGCAATGTCAAAGTAGTTTTAATTTCCTTGATGGCTAAGCATGATGAGCATTTTTAAAGTGTTTCTCAGCAATTTGTGTTTCATCTTTTGAAAACTGTTTAATTCTGTACCCCATTTTTAAATTGGTTATTTGTTTTCCTTTTGTTCAGATTTTTTTAGTTCTTTATATAGTCTAGATACTAACCCTCTATCAGATTTCCTATTCTGTAGGCTGACACTTTGCTCAAATGATGGTGTCTTTTGCTGTACAGAAGCTTTTAACTTTATGAGGTCCCATTGGTTAATCGTTAGTCTTACTGCCTGTGTTGTTGTTGAGCTATTTAGAAATTCCCTTCTGTGCCAATGAATTCAAGCCTATTCTCTACTTTCTTCTATAAGATTCAGTCTATCTAGTCTTACATTGAGGTTCTTGATCCATTTGGAGTTGAGTTTTGTGTAGGGCAATGGCTATGGATCTATTTTTATTCTTCTACATGTAGCTATCCGGTTTGACTAGCACCATTTGTTGGCGATACTGTCTTTTCTCCAGTGTGTATTTTTAGTTTCTTTGTCAAAATTAGGTGTTCATAGGTGTGTGGAATTATGTCTGGGTCTTCAGTTCTATTCTATTGATCAACATGTCTTATGTCAATACCATGTTTTTTAAATAAGTGTAGCTCTATAATACAATTTGAAATCTGTGATGGTGATACATCCAGCATTTCTTCTGTAGCTCAGGATTGTTTTTGCTATTCTGGGTTTTGTGTTTATAATGTAATATTCTTAATACAGAAACCCACTTTAGTTGACAAAATAGACTTCAAGAATTAGAGAAGAGATTCATGAAAGTTTCAAAGCAGAAAGAGGAAATGACATGTACAACTAAAAAATCAGACTTGCTTAAAATTTGTCTTTGTTTTCTTAATATATTTTAATTTTTCATTAAGTTTTTAGTAACCACAAAAACAGTGGATTTCTTTATGGTGTTTTCATACATTCATATCATTGTATTTTGCTCATATTCACCCCATCTCTTGTACTGGCTCTCTTCCTCTACCAAATATTTCCCCTTAATATTTTACTTGAGAAACCTTACATATGCAGAAAGGTGAAAGAAATGGTACTACCCTTTGCCATCCAAGATTTATTACCTGACACGATTTTCCTCCCTTGTTTGTCTTCTAGATACAGGTTTGTATGTGTTTTGATTTTTGGTATTTTTTTCTCAACTATTTGAAGTTGGATACAGATACTTTATGCATTTTATGGGAAATTTCTATTGATGGGAAGAACAAAACTTTAAATCTCTCCCCTAACGAGTTTCACCTTGGCCTAAAATCCATAACTACTGTCAATCTACTTATTATAACTTTTTTTTTGGTCAAATTATATGAGCAACTGGGGCTGTAGATGACTTAGCTTAGCAGGTGAGATCACTTGCTGTATAAGCAAGAGAACTTGAGTTCAAATCTCCAGTTCTCATGTCCAAAGTGAAGCATGGCTGTGTATATTTGTAACTCCAGTTCTGTGGGGAGTGGGGACAGGAGGATTGCTAGGGCTTGCTGCTTGCCAGCCTAGCTTCAGGTTCAGTGAGAGACCCTGTCTCAAGAAAATAAGGCAAAGGGTCTTCATATGGATACAAGCATGCACATCCATACATACTTGTACATATACCACATACACAATGTAAACAACCTCTTAGGTTTCACTGTAATATTGTTAAAGAAAAAAATTGTATTTAATCATGGTGAGATTTCCTTCTTGGATACCACTTGGTTTGAGGGAAAAGTTGTTTTTCCTTTTTTGTTAATAAAAACTAAAATCTGCTGGTGAGAGAGAAGTGGTAAGTGAGACTGTGTCCTGTTTACGATAGTCGGAGGAAACATGTAGGTTCCTCAGAAAGCAGATTGTCTTCCTCTGTTTTAAGCAACCACATTTGAGATTTTGAAACTTGATTTCCATTTTTGTCATTTTGGATGAATTTCTAAATATTTTTTAAAATTATTATTCTAGGTCATGGTTTTTACAAAGGACCAAACAGAGAAGGAAATAGATGAAATTCACAGTAAATATCGTAAGTTGTGCAATGTGTCCTTATTGTAAAGAATTTAAGTTGCTGTTTTACATCTTAGGTAATTAAAAAATGTTTGATATTAATGTTCAAAATAATCCTGTTAATGTTGCTTCAGAGATGGGGCTTTAGTGGGTGTCTGCTCAGGTAGCCTTTTGTATATGGTACCTGTTTTTTTGTTTTTTTTTTTTTTTAATATCTGTGACTAACATTCTGCTTTGAGCTCATTGTCACCAAGCACTTGGCAAATATGAGTTAGTTCTCAGAAACCATTCTGTGAGAAGGGGCGAACATAGGAACATTCAGGACTGCATTGAGTCTCAGGCCTGCAATAACAATTCTACTGTAAGGAGGTACAACACTTCTGTGGCTCAGAGATTTGTGTCAAAAATAGGTTTCCTTCTCTTGTTAGCATTCTCTCACACGTTACCATTTCCTTTTCTGTAAGTGGTCTGCCAGTGTATCTTTGCCAGGTCATACCTTATTGTTTCCGTTAACTGGGTAGTTGTTATTTCTTACTTACTTAGTTGATTGGTGTCTGTCTGTCTGTCTGTCTGTCTATCTATCTATCTATCTATCTATCTATCTATCTATCTATCTATCTATCTATCTAGAGACAGGGTCTCTCTGTGTAGCCCTGGCTGTTCTCAATTTGCTATGTAGACTTGGCTGGCTGGCTTTGAACCCACAGAAATCTGATTGCCTCTATTAATTTTTTAATTTTAATTTTGTTTTATTTTTGTAGCACTGAGGATTGAATTCAAGGCCTTGCATGCAGTAGACTAGCATTCCTGGAAGAGTTACTTCTCCAGCCTCAAGTTTAATGAGGACTGAAATTCCTTATTCCTCCTGGTTCTGGCTGATTCTCCTTCTCATTCTCCCCACACTTCTCCTCTCTTTCCTTTTCCCTCTTCTTCTCAGTCTTCCTCTCTTTCTCTGTCTCTCTTTGTTTATTGAGTCTGGATCTTGCTCAGTAGCCCAAGCTGTCTCAGCCTTCCTAGTGCTGTGTATGTGTGTGTGTCACTACACTAGTTAAGGGCCAGCAAGCAGCATGTAATGAATGTTGGTTGAGTGAGTGTTCCAGTTATGGTATGGTTTCATTGTGCCCAGATAAAGTTTTCTTTCTTCCTTCCATTCTTACTTTGAAGGGTGGATTCAGCAGCAGGAAAGGAGTCTGAAATCCCCACATAGTCCCAGTTTGCTTTCTTTTTTTTTAAAATTTATTTTACATACCAACCACAGTTTCCCCTCCCTTCTCTCCTCGAGTTTGCTCCCCCTACCTCCTTTCTTACCCTCCGCCCCCCAATCCACTCCTCAGAAAGGGTAAGGTCTTCTCCCATGGGAGTAAACAAAGCATGGCATATCAAGTTGAGGCAGGACCAAGCTCCTCCTCACTGCATCAAGGTGAGTGAGGTATCCCACCATAAGGAGTAGGTTCCAAAAAGCCAGCTCATGCACCAGGGACAGATCCTGGTCTCACTGCTAGGGCCCCATAAACAGGCCAAGCTACATAACTGTCACGCACATGCAGAGGGCCTAAGTCCGTCCCATACAGGCTCCCTAGCTGTCGGTCTAGAGTCTGTGAGCTCCCCTGAGCCCGGGTCAGCTGTCTCTGTGGGTTTCCCCGTTATGATCTTGACTCCCCCCTTGCTTATATAATCCTTCCTCTCTCTCTTCAACTGGATTCCCCGAGCTTGGCCCAGTGCTTGGCTGTAGATCTCTGCATCTGCTCCCATCAGTTACTGGATGAAGGTTCTATGATGACAATTGGGTTAGTCACCAATCTGATTACAGAAGGCAGTTCAGTCACCCTTTCCACTGTTGCTAGGAATCTTAGCTGGATCCATCCTTGTGGATTCCTGGGAGTTTCCCTGGTACCACATTTCTCCCAAACCCCACAATGCCCTCCTCTATCAAGATATCTCTTTCGTTGCTCTCCTCTCTGTTCTCCCCCAGCTTGACCATCCCGATCCCTCATGTTCCAATTCCCCACCTCCTCTCCTCAAACCTCCACCTCCTCTCAGTTTACCCAAGAGATCTCAACTATTTTCCCTTCCCAGGGCCATCCATGCATCCCTCTCAGGGTCCTTCTTGCTACCTAGTTTCTCTAGGGCTATGGATTGTAGCCTGGTTATCCTTTGCTTTACATTTACTATTCACTTATGAGTGAGTACATACCATGCTTGTCTTTCTAGGTCTGGGTTACCTCACTCAGGATGTTTTTTTCTAGTTCCATCCATTTACCTGCAAATTTCATGATGTCATTGTTTTTTTTTTTTTTTTTTTTTTTTTTTACCACTGAGTAATACTCCATTGTGTAAATGAACCACATTTTCTTCATCCATTCTTTGGTTGAAGGGCATCTAGGTTGTTTCCAGGTTTTGGCTATTATGAATAATGTTGCTGTGAACATAGTTGAGCAAATGTCCTTGTGGGTATATGCCCAAGATTGGTATCATTGGGTCTTGAGGTAGATTGATTCCCAATTTTCTGAGAAACTGTTATACTGATTTCCAAAGTGGCTATACCAGTTTGCACTCCCACCAACAGTGGAAGAGTGTTCCCCTTACTCCACATCCTCTCCAACATAAACTGTCATTAGTTTTTTTGATCTTAGCCATTATGACAGGTGTAAGATGGTATCTTAGAGTCATTTTGATTTGTATTTCCTTGATGAATAAGGACATTGAGCAATTCTTTAAATGCATTTCGGCCATTTGAGATTCTTCTGTTGAGAATTCTGTTTAGATTGGCACCCCATTTTTTAATTGGATTATTTGGTATTTTAATGTCTAGTTTCTTGAGTTCTTTATACATTTTGGAGGTCAACCCTCTGTCAGATGTGGAATTGGTGAAGATCTTTTCCCATTCTGTAGGCTGCTGTTTTGTCTTATTGACCATATCCTTTTCATTACAGATGCTTTTCAGTTTCAGAAGGTCTCATTTATTAATTGTAGATCTCAGTGTCTGTGCTACTGGTGTAATGTTCAGGAATTCAGAGAGTAATCTCCTGTGCCAATGCGTTCAAGGCTACTTCCTACTTTCTCTTCTTTCATTTATGTTGAGGTTTTTGATCCAATTAGACTTGAGCTTTGTGCATGGCAATAGATATAGATCTATTTGCAATCATCTACATGTCAATATCCAATTATGCCAGTACCATTTGTTGAAGATGCTTTCTTTTTTCCATTGTATAATTTTGGCTTCTTTGTCAAAAATCAGGTATTCATAGGTGTGTGGATTTATGTCAGGATCTTCTATTTGATTCCATTGATCATTGTGTCTTGGTATTGTTTTATGCCAATACCAAGCTGTTTTTATTACTGTAGAGCTCTATAGTAGAGCTTGCAGTCAAGGATGGTGATGCCTCTAGAAGTTCCTTTATTGTACAGTTGTTTTGGCTATCCTGGGTTTTTGTTTTTCCATATGAAATTGAGTATTGTTCTTTCGAGGTCTGTGAAGAATTGTGTTGGGATTTTGATGGGGATTGCATTGCATCTGTAGATTGCTTTTGGTAAGATTGCCGTTTTTACTATGTTAGTCCTACTTATTCAAGAGCATGGGAGATCTTTCCATTTTCTAATATCTTCTTCAATTTCTTTCTTCAAAAACTTAAATTTCTTGTTATTTAGGTTTTTCACTTGTTTGGTCAGCATTACCCCAAGATATTTTATATAATTTGTTGCCATAATGAAGGGTGTTGTTTCTGATTTCTTTCTCAGCCTGCTTTTCATTTGTATTCAGAGGGATACTGATTTTTTTTTTTTTGAGTTAAACTTGTATCCTGCCACATTACTGAAGGTGTTTATCAGCTAGCTGTAGGAGTTCCCTGGTAGAATTTTTGGGGTCACTTATGCATACTAATATGTCATCTGCAAATAGCGAAAGTTTGACTTCTTTCCAATTTGTATCCCCTTGATCTCCTTTTGTTGTCTTATTGCTCTCGCTAGAACTTTGAGTACTATATTGAATAGATAAGAAGAGAGTGGACAGCCTTGTCTTGTTCCTGATTTTAGTGGAATTGCTTTGAGTTTCTCTCCATTTAATTTAATGTTAGCTGTCGGCTTGCTGTATATTGCTTTTATTATGTTTAGGTATGTTCCTTGTATCCCTAATCTCTCTAAGACTTTTATCATGAAGGGGTGTTGGATTTTGGCAAAGGTTTTTTCAGCATCAGATGAGATGATCATGTGGGGTTTTTTTGTTTTGTTTTTCCAGTTTGTTTATATGGTGAATTACATTGACAGATTTTCGTATGTTGAACCATCCCTGCATCTCTGGAATGAAGCCTACTTGATCATGGTAGATGTTTTTTTGATGTGTTCTTGGATTCTGTTTGCCAGTATTTTATTGAGTTTTTTTGCATCAATGTTCATGAAGGATATTGGTCTGTAATTCTCTTTCTTTGCTGTGTCTTTGTGTGGTTTGGGTATCAGGGTAACTGTAGCCTCATAAAAAGTGTTTGGCAATGTTCCTTCTGTTTCTATTGTGTGGAACAATTTGAGGAGTATCAACATTAGCCCTTCTTTGAAAATCTGGTAGAATTCTGTGCTGAAACCATCTGGCCCTGGGCTTCTTTTGGTTGGGAGACTTTTAATGACTGCTTCTATTTCCTTAGGGGTTATAGGTCTATTTAAATTGGTTATCTGGTCTTGATTTAATTTTGATATGTGGTACCTATCCATAAAATTGTCCATTTCTTTTAGATTTTCCAATTTTGTGGCATACAGGTTTTTGAAGTATGACCTAATGATTCTCTGGATTTCCTCAGTGTCTGTTGTTATGTCCCCCTTTTAATTTTTGATTTTGTTAATTTGGATATTCTCTCTCTGCCTTTTGGTTAGTTTAGATAAGGGTTTGTTTATCTTACTGATTTTCTCAAAGAACCAACTCTTTGTTTCATTAATTTTTGTATTGTTGTCTTTGTTTTTCTGTTTTATTGATTTCAGCCCTCAGTTTGCTTATTTCCTATCATTTACTCCTCCTGGATGAGTTTGCTTCTTTTTGTTCTAGAGCTTTCAGGTATGCTGTTAAGTTAGTATGAGACTTCTCTAAATTCTTTATGTAGTCACTTAGTGTTATCAACTTTCCTCTTAGCACTGCTTTCATAGTGTCCCATAAGTTTGGGTATGTTGTGCATTCATTTTTGTTGAATTCTAGGAAGTTTTTAATTTCTTTATTTCTTCCTTCACCCAGTGGTGATTCAGTTGAGCATTGTTCAGTTTCCACGAGTTTGTAGGCTTTCTGTAATTTGTGGTGTTGTTGAATTCTAACTTTAAGCGATGGTGATCCGATAAGATACAGGGGTTTATTCCAATTTTTTTTTTTTTTTGTATCTGTTGAGATTTGCTTTGTGATCGATTATGTGGTCAATTTTAGAGAAGGTCCCATGAGGTGACGAGAAGAAGGTACATTCTTTTGTGTTTGGGTGAAAAGTTCTGTTAGGTCCATTTGAGTCATAACATCTTATTTCTCTGTTAAGTTTCTGTCTGGCAGACTTGTTCATTGGTGCGAGTGGGTGTTGAAGTCTCCCACTATTAGTGTCTGGATTTGATGTATAATTTAAGCTTTAGTATGTTTCTTTTACAAATGTGGTTGCCCTTGTATTTGGGGCATAAATATTCAGACTTGAGACTTCATCTTGGTGGATTTTTCCTGTAATGAATATGGAATGTCCTCCATCTCTTTTGATTAATTTTAGTTTGAAGTTTATATTGTTAGATATTAGGATAGCTACATCAGCTTATTTCTTAGGTCCATTTGATTGGACAATCTTTTCCCAACCCTTTACTCTGAGGTAATGTCTGTCTTTGAAGTTAAAGTTCCTTGTATGCAGTAGAAGGATGGATCCTGTTTTCGTATCCATTCTGTTAGTCTGTGTCTTTTTTTTTTTTTGGTTTTTCGAGACAGGGTTTCTCTGTGTAGCTTTGCGCCTCTCCTGGGACTCACTTGGTAGCCCAGGCTGGCCTCGAACTCACGGAGATCCGCCTGGCTCTGCCTCCCGAGTGCTGGGATTAAAGGCGTGCGCCACCACCGCCCGGCTAGTCTGTGTCTTTTTATAGGCGAATTGAGTACATTGATATTAAGAGAGATTAGTGACCAGTGATTGTTATTTCCTGTTATTTTTTATTTTGTTGTTGTTGGTAGTGTGTGTGTGTGTGTGTGTGTGTGTGTGTGTGTGTGTGTGTGTGTGTTTCTCTTGTTTGGAATTTGCTGGTGTGATACTGTCTTTTGCCTATGTTTTCATTGGTACAGCTAACTTCCTTGGGTTGGAGCTTTCCTTCTAGTAGTTTCTGTAGGGCTAGATTTGTGGATAGGTATTATTTAAATCTGGCTTTGTCATGGAATGTCTTTTTTTCTCTGTCTCTGATGATTGACAGTTTTGCTGGGTATAGTAGTCTGGGCTGGCATCTGTGGTCTCTTCATGTCTATCCAGGAACTTCTGGCTTTCAGAGTCTCCATTGAGAAGTTGGGTGTAATTCTGATAGGTCTGTCTTTATATGTTACTTGGCCTTTTTCCTTTGCAGCTCTTAATATTCTTTCTTTATTCTGTATGTTTAGTGTTTTGATTATTGTGTGGTGAGGGGACTTTTTTTTGGGTCCAGTCTATTTGGTGTTCTGTAAGCTTCTTGTATCTTCATAGGCATTTCCTTCTTTAGGTTGGGAAAGTTTTCTTCTGTGATATTGTTGAATATATTTTCTGTGCCTTTGAGCTGGAATTCTTCTCCTTCTTCTATCCCTATTATTTTTAGGTTTGGCTTTTTCATAGTGTCCCAGATTTTCTGAATGTTTTATGTTAAGAATTTGTTTGATTTAACATTTTCTTTGGCCAATGAATCTATTTCCTCTATTGCATCTTCAACACCCAAGATTCTGTCTTCCATCTCTTTTATTCTCTTGGTTATGCTTGCATCTGTAGTTCCTGTTTGTTAACCCAGATTTTCCATTTCCAGAATTCCCCTGGCTTGTGTTTTCTTTATTGCCTCTATTTCAGTTTTCAAGTCTTGAGCTGTTTCTTTCACCTGTTTGTTTTTCTTGACTTTCTTGGCTTTCTATAAGGGATTTATTGATTTTTTTCCAATTTTTTGTTTGTCTTTTCCTCGGTTTCTTTAAGGGAATTTTTCATTTCATCTTTAAAGGCTTTTATAATCTTTATAAAGTTATTTTTAAGGTCGTTTTCTTCTGTTTCAACTACATTGGGATGTTCAGGTCTTGCTATTGCAGAATCACTAGGTTCTGGTCATGCCATACTGCTCTTTTTGTTGTTGGATGTATTCTCACACTGCTGTTTATCCATCTGGGATTGGGATAATTATAGGAAATAGTTGTTGATTCTTGTGATGTCTTTGTTGGATGGGTCTTTTATTCTTTTATTGTCTGTTTCCTTTATTGTCTTTTGGACTGAATGACCAAGGGTTCTGGTGATTGGCTGGTTGTCAGGTCCAGTAGGGTTGTCTCAGTTGAGGTTTGGGTGCCTAGATCCAGCATATTGTCCCGTTCTTCTGGCTAGTGTGAGCTTTACTTTTTGCCTGTGTTGTCTGTTCTTCCAACTGGTGTGGGTTGTGCCTGTTCTTCCAACTTTTGTGGGTGGCGCTTGTGCCTATAGGATCTGCTAATGATGCTGGAGAGGACTGTTCATGGGGAGGCTGCTCTTCTTCCAGTTGGTGCAGGTGGTTCTTGTGCCTCTAGGGACTGCTGATTTTTCGATGGTTGGCCAGGGGGAGGATGATAGGTTCAGTGGGTTTGGGCAGTGGAGTGGGTCTTGTAGGTTACAGAGGCCAGTGGTGGTTGTTATTGGTGAAGCAGCCTGCCCACAGGACTCTTACCTGCTGGCTGGCTGCTGAAGATCTTGTTCTAAATGGTGCAAGTGGTGCTTATGCCTAGAGGCTGCTGATTTTGCAGGGGGATGGTTGGCCACAGGGAGGATGATGGGTTCAGTGGGTTTGGGCTGCTGAGTGGGTCTTGTAGGTTACAGCATCCAATTGGTGGTGGCAGTGGTGTCTCCTGTGGTGATATTTTAATTGTGCTGAAATGTGATTTTATTTGTATGTTAATAAAGTTTGCCTGGAGATCAGAGGTTATTAGTGAGCCAGGAATAGAAGTCAGGTGGTGGTAGCCCATGCCCTTAATCCGATCACGTGGCAGGCAGAGTCTCTGTGGTCAAGGACACAGTCAAGCGTGGTGACCCGAACCTTTAATCCCAGTACCAACCATAGAGACCTGGAGGTCTGTATAGACAGGCAGTGATGAGGAAGTCATATGGTTGGGTTTAGAGCCAATGAGAAGGCAGAACAGAAAGACAATAAAAAGACAAGTCACACAGGAAGAAGGTCTCTCTCTCAGGGGAAGGATGGCAGCAAGTGGTAAGATAAGGTGGTCTTGGCTCTTCGCTAATACTCTGATCTCTTGGGCTTTTAACTCTGTATTTCTTGGCTCTGTGCTTCTTATTTGTTATTAGAATTTCGTCTACAGTCCTCAGTTTGCTTTCTATGTTGTGATAAACACCCTGACCAAAAGCAATGCAGGGAGAAAAGTGTACTATCGATCATGGAGGAAAGTCAGGGCAGAAACCTGGAGGCAGGAACTGATACAGATTCCATGAAGGAACACTGCTGACTGGCTTGCTTAGCCTGTTTTATAACACAACCCAGTACCTGTCCATGGGTGGCACTGCCCGCAGTGGACTGGGTCATCCCATATCAATCATAATCAAGAAAATGCCCCACAAGCTAGCCCACAGGCCAGTCTGGTGGGAACATTTTCTCAATTGAGATTCCCTCTCCCAAATGACTCTAGCTTGTGTCTAATTGACATAAAACTAGCCAGTACATCACCTCTGAGCCAGGGAATATGCAATTTAGACTCTTCATGCTGCATATGCGTTGCCACATCTTGTTTCCTTTTTTTGTACTTTAATTGTGTTATTTTATGTGTATGGCTATTTTGCCCACATGCATGTTTGTGTATCATGTGCAGCCCTGGCCCTGCAGAGGTCAAAAGAGGGTGGTTGCTTTCCTAGAACAGGAGTTAACAGACAGTTCTGAGCCATTAGAAGAGGTAGGAATTAGGAAACTGTCACACTCAAGTGTCACATGTAACTTTCCTAACATTCTAATATTTACTTAAAAGTTTTAATTTTCTCTTTGACAGAAAATGCTTTTGTTCATTTTTCTTGACATTCCTGTCCTGTCATTCACTTCTGAGAATATGAGTATCAGAATTCAAGTCTGATGGCCACACTTCGTTGTGCTTCCACTTAAAAATGGTATCCTTAGTCAGGTATGATAGCAGTCAGGAAGCTGAGGCAAGGGATTGTATGTTTGGGGCTAGACTGATATGTATTCCAGGACCTGCCTCCAAAAGAAAAAGAGGTACTTGTGCTGCCTGGTTTTGTACTAACTTGACACAACTTAAGTCATCTGAGATGAGGGAACCTCAATTAAGAAAATGCCTTCAGGGGCAACTATGATGGCGATGAGTTTCCAGTGGCTGTGGGAGTACTGCTTCCCGCCCTTCTTTACGTTACAGCCGAACGTGGACACTCGGCAGAAGCAGCTGGCCGCCTGGTGCTCTCCAGTTCTGTCTTTCTGTCACCTGCACAAACAGTCCAGCATGACGGTGATGGAAGTCCAGGAGAGCCCGCTCTTCAACAACATCAAGCTACAGCGGAAACTTCTTGTAGAGTCAATCCAGATTGTATTAGAGGAACTAAGGAAGAAAGGGAACCTTGAGTGGTTGGATAAGAATGAGTCTAGCTTCCTGATCATGTGGCAGAGGCCAGAAGAATGGGGGAAACTCATTTATCAATGGGTTTCCAGGAGCTGCCAGAACAACTCTGTGTTTACCCTATATGAACTGACCAGTGGGGAAGACACAGAGGATGAAGAGTTCCATGGGCTAGATGAGGCGACCCTTCTTCGTGCTCTACAGGCCCTACAGCAGGAGCACAAGGCTGAGATCATCACTGTCAGTGATGGCCGAGGAGTCAGGTGGTTCTAGCAGAAACCTGTCTCCCTCTACTTCTTACCTCCCACTTTTCCAGGGCTTTCAAAAGGAGACAGACCAAGTGTCCCACAGACTGGACCCGTCACTCCACCCGACTCCAGGGGCTCAAGTCCTGAAAGCGCAGACTTAGGGATATTTCCTGCTTACTCCATCTATCTGTCCCCAGGACAGAGTCAGCCCATGGTGCCAGGGAAAAAGGATGTTTCTTGCCCTCCCTCCTTTCCCATCCTAGACTGTCCCTGGGCCAGGGTCTATAAACCTGACACTTTACTTGTGTTCTCACACATAAGTACACACCCATATGCGCCTGCACATGCTTCTTTCTCCTTCCCCCTCCCACTCCTTAGCTACTATGGCCTCCCTTCTCAGGCTAGTGCTGAATCTTCCTAGGGGTGGGGGAAGCCCTGGCTGCAGGCAGCCTTCCAGGCAATACAGAGATAGGAAGCCCCAGAGGGGGCTTGGCAGTGAAAGGCAGGCCCACTCTGATTTATGATATTCAAATCTCTACTCCCACAAAAAAAAAAAAAATGCCTTTATAAGATCAGGCTATAGGTAAGGCTGTAGGACATTTTCTTTTTTTTTTTTTTTTTAGGTTTTTCGAGACAGGGTTTCTCTGTGCAGCTTTGCGCCTTTCCTGGATCTCGCTCTCTAGACCAGGCTGGCCTCGAACTCACAAAGATCTGCCTGCCTCTGCCTCCCAAGTGCTGGGATTAAAGGCGTGCGCCACCACCGCCCGGCTGACATTTTCTTAATTAGTGAATGATGTGGGAGTGCCCAGGCCATTGTTGTCTCTGGGCTGGTGGTCCTGGGTGCTATAAAAATCAGGCTAAGCAAGCCAAGAGGAGCAAGTTAGTAAGCAGCACCCTTCCATGGCCTCCGAATCAGTTCCTGCTTCCAGGTTCCTGCCCTGTTTGAGTTCCTGTCCTGACTTCCTTCAGTGATGAACAGTGATGTAGAAGTGTAAGTTGAATAAACCCTTTCCTCCCCAGTTGCTTTGGTCATGGTGTTTTATCACAGCAGTGGTAACCCTAAGACAGTACCCCATTACATACATGGCTGACTTAGCTCACAGAGTCTCCTAGTACTTTGGTGTGCCTCAGCACTTTTTATTTGTAGTTCTCATCTCACCACAGAGGGTTTTAGAAAGGTGTGTCATATACTTAAGAGCCAACATTTAATTAAGTTAATACTTATTCCTACTGTTCGATCAAAGAGATGTGTGTAGGTGTGTCTGTCATATATCTATTTATATATGGAGAGAGTTGCTGGGGTACTAAGCATGTACCCTGCCACTCAGCTACTATGCAGCCCACCATCAAGACAGTCTTAATAAAGTTGACTTTTTGATTTTTCTAAATGATGAGTGTGTGCATGCTGGGAGGAATACAGCATCATTTCTTTGATGCGTGCTAAGGTACCAGAAATTTTCTCCACCGTCGCTGTTGCACCGTTCATGTATTATGTCACTGTAATAAAAAAGGACAGATAGGGGCTAAAGAGATGGCCCAGAGGATAAGAGCAGTTGTTCTTATGGAAAACCCAGGTTTGGTTCCCAGCACCCACATAGAGACTAACAACTGTCTGTAACTTCAGAACTGTAAATTCAGAGGATCCAACACCCTCTTCTGGCCTCCATAGGAACTGCACATGTGTGGTGCAGAGACATACATGGAGGCAAAACATCCATACATGTAAAACAAATAAATCTTTTTTCTTAAGGATCAGATTACATCTTAGTATGGTTATGACAATAAGTGTTACCTGATAGTCCGAAGGAAAAATTTCAGGGTTCTTTAGCTGTACTGTACTCAGAAATACAGTTTTAGAATATAGATGATGGAAAGGGAAGAGGAGCCCGCCCACAAAGAAAAATGTCAATAGTAGAGACTTGAGGCAGAAAGAGCTTTGAAAATGTGGTTTTGGAAATGTAGACAGATGGAATCATGAGTTGTGCCTCCCACCTGTTGCCTGGAAGCTATGTGAAAAGCAATAATGAGGGGCCAGTAGATTTTACAGCTTGGCAGCAGCAAACCTTGACAGTGTGCCTTCTTCTAGAATGGTTTCATGGAGAGGAGGAGTCAGAAGCACTCAGTTGGTTGAGACCAAGTTGGAAAAAGTGAGACCATTAAAAAAGTAGACAGCTTGGACTGGAGAGATGGCTCAGCTGCTAAAGGCTAGGCTCACAATCAAATAGTAGACAGCTCCTTTATTACTGTGTCATGGAGAGTGGAAAAATGAGGTAGCTGGAAGTGAGTTTGCAGTCGGGGAGTTTTTTTTTTTTTTTTTGGTAAAAGTTGAGAGGTACTTATCTCAGTGACTTTCAGACTTTTGGAATGCAACCCACAGCCAGAGATGATGCTTATAGCAGCACTAACTACAAACACAAGTTATGGAAACAAGTTTCACAAAACCATATTTCCATTTATCACTGTTGGTACTGTCCATTCTGTCCTCTGTTTCATTAAGAAATGAAAAGCCAGTACCTGAACTACTAAGTCCCCCTCCCCCCCAAATCTGTGATGATTAGTGTAGTTGTTTGAAAAGAAAATGGCCAAAGGGAGTGACACTATTAGAAAGTGTGGCTTTGTTGAAGTAGGTATGGCCTTGTTGGAGGAGGTGTGTCACTGTGGAAGCAGGATTTGAGGTCTCATACATGCTCAGGCCATGCCTGGTGTCTCAGCCACTTCCTTTTGCCTGCACAAGATATAGAACGCTCAGTTACCTCTAACACTATTGTCTGCCTGCACACTGCCATGTCCCACCAAGATGATAATAGACTGAACCTCTGAACTGTTAAGCCACCCAATTAAATGTTTTCCTTGTAAGAGTTGCCATGGTCGTGGTGTCTCTTGATAGTAACAGAAACCCTAACTAATACAGAAGTTTATAACCAAGGTCAGGGGTATTGCTATGATAGGTTTGACCATGCTTTTGTTTGAAGGAATATGGTCCTTGGGACTGTGGATTAGAAAAACAGTTGAACGCTTTAAGGGCTGCTTAATAGGCCATACTAGTAGGAGCATGGAAGACAGTGGTGCTGAGTGTGACTTGAACTGTGGGTGCCTGGATCAAGAGGTTGCAGAAGAGAGAAATGTTAGTATGTGGCCTAGGGACCCATCTTGTGATATTTTGATGAAGAATGTGACTGCCTTTTGCCCAAGGCTAAAGTGAAGAGTTTTGGATTAATTTCATTGACAGAGGAAGTCTCAAAACAGCTTAATATAGACTCTGTTGTGTGGTTATTAGTGGTAACTCTAAAGAAGATTTATAATGAAAAGGAGCAAGCTGAGCAGGGTAAATTACAAAATTTAAAATCTGGGGAGAAAAGGAGCACCAGGAAGTGGAGTGAAGCTAGATTAAGAAATGGAATAAAGGGAGTGGTGACCTCAGGGCAAGATCCCACCCAGCTAATTTTCCAACCTGTGAAAAGGAATTAAAGAAAATCTTGGAGCCAGGTGTGGTGCTCCAGAGGCAGAGGCAGAGGCAGATGGATCTCTGAGTTTGAGGCCAGCCTGTTCTACACAGCAAGTTGCAGAGTAGCCAAGATTAGGCAGGGAAGTTAACTATCGAAAACAGAAAGCTGATGAAGATGTGATTGAAGGAGGGGTCCATGTTCCAGCCTTAGCAAGCAGCTAAACTTGGCAACTTTAGCTACATGGTTCTGGCTTTAGAGTCAAGGATACAACAAATGAGTTGAGGAATATTCCTTTGTTGCTAAGGAAAACTGCTGAGGCCAGGCATGTGTCAGGGGTGTCCCTGAATGGAGGCCCAGAAAGGCCATTGTGTGAAGTTGTGAGATTGAAGCCTGAATTGCCTTGGAGATCCAAAGATGTTAGAGATGCCAGAGTCATGGGATACCTGCTGAGGAGAGCTGTTAACAAGGAGTGAAACCAGCCCAAGAGAAAGTAAGTGTGTTGTAGTCAACAAAGCTTAAAGGAGTTGGAGATCTGAAGAGCGTTTTGACATCAGATGTGGAGATGCAGAGTTTGGGGTTTGCCCAGCTGGTTTTGGTGTTGCTTTGGTCCAGTCTTTCCTTACTGTGTTCCCTTCTATGTTTTGGAATGGTAATGTATATCCTGTGCCATTATATGTTGGAAGTATGTGATCTTTTTTAATTTTTTTTTTATTTTATAGGGGATTACAGTTAAGAGATTGTATGAATCTCAGAAGAGACTTTTAACTTTGGACTTTTAAATAAGTTTGAGACTATGATAGCCTATGGGGACCTTTGAAGTTGAACTGAATGCATTTTTGCATTATGATATGGCTACAAGCCTTTGGGGGCCAGGGAGTGGAGTGTGGTGATTTGAAAGAAAATGCCTCCCAAAGGGAGTGGCACTGGTAGGAGGTGTGGCTTTGTTGGAGTAGGTGTGGTTTTGTTGGAGGAAGTGTGCCACTGTGGAGGTGGGCTGTGAGGTCTCATATCTGTTTAAATCACACCTAGTGTCTCAGACCACTTCCTATTGCCTGTGCAAGATGTTGAACTTTCAGCTACCTCTCCAGCATTATTATATCTATCTGCACACCTCTATGCTCCACCATGACGATAATGGACTGAACCTCTGAACTGTAAGCCACCCAGTTAAATATTTTCCTTTATAAGAGTTGTTGCGATCATGGTGTCTCTTCACAGCAATAGAAACCATAACTAAGACAGATGGTTTTTAAAAGATTCTGGCCGGGCGGTGGTGGTGCACGCCTTTAATCCCAGCACTTGGGAGGCAGAGCCAGGCGGATCTCTGTGAGTTTGAGGCCAGCCTGGGCTACCAAGTGAGTTCCAGGAAAGGCGCAAAGCTACACAGAGAAACCCTGTCTCGAAAAACAAAAAAAAACCAAAACAACAACAAAAAAAACCCAAAAGATTCTGTATATGAGGTCTTTGTGATGAATCGAGAGCATAAGCTAAGGGTTGGCCTTTAATTATAACACATACAGTTGTTTCATGATAATGACTAAGAAGATAGAGGACGTGTACACAGACAAGGAGTGGTGGTGGGTGGAAGAGGACAGTTTCTCTTAAAATAAATATGTATTTTGGTCCTGTGAAGTCCACTAAGAGGGTCCATAAAGAGGTTGTGGGGGTTTGAATGAACAGCAGAAAATGAGCCACAGTCATTTTGATGAACTTATTCATCAGCTCCCATAACTAGTCAAGCCACTTCATTTTTTTTTAAGAACCAGTTATTTTATGTGTATACGTGTTTTGTCTACATGTTTGTCTGTGCACCACATGTATGTCTGGTACCCACAGAGGTCAGAAGAAGGGGTTGGACCTCCTGCAACTGGAATTACAGATGGTTGTGAGTTACTGTGTGGGTTCTGGTAACCAAACCTGGATCTGCTGGAAGAGCAGCCAGTGCTGTTCATTGCTGGGCCACATCTGCAGCCCCCAGAACCACTTAAAATTTATAAAAGGAAAATTCAGGACATATAACTCAAACTCATATTTTAGATTCTAGAGTGCTCCTTGCCAAATAGCAGATCTCCTAAGATAAGTGAAATGATGAGTGGGAACAATTTTATTAGTCACAATCTGTTGGCATCATTTATTTTCTCTGCAGCAATTTTGGACTTCTTGGATCGGAGCCAGAGTGGTGGCTGCTGTTAGTTTTTGTTTCCAGCCTAGCTGTGGAGCAACTAGATTCAAGCAAGAAATCTGACTTTAAAACACTGTGAATCTGAGCTTTTAGTACTTTAGGAGTAAAGTCATTAAGCCTTTCTAACTGTTAATTTGACTACTTAAGGGATTTTTGGACAAATCTTAAGTACAATCCTGTGTTTCCTGGTGGCTTAGAAAAAAAACAAGGAAAATCTAGGAAAATGGCTGTGGTGATTATCAACTAGATAAAACTGGAATCACCTGGGAGATGAGCCTCTGGGAATGCCTGTGGGGGATATTTTGATTGTATTGAGACGGGAAGACCTGCCCACTGTGAGTGGCACCTGGTTAAATACTAGATTAAATTTTTAAAATGATTTATTTATTTTTATGTGTATGAGTATTTTGCCTGCATCTATGTCTGTGCACCATGTGTGTGCAGTATCTTCAGAGGCCAGAAGTGGGCATCAGATCCTCTGGAACTGAAGTCACAGACAGTTGATAGCCACCATGTCAGTGGTGGGAATTGAACCTAGGTCCTCTAGAAGTACAGCCTCTTCTCTTAAGCCTGACCCATCTCTCCAGCCCTTTGGATCTTAGATTTTATAAACAGGTCAGAGGGAGCTTAGCAGTATTCATTATTTGTTTCCCAGTTGTGAATGAGAAGTGACCAGCTGGTTCAAGCTCCTGGCACCTGAACTGTCTTGAATAAACCCTTTCTCCCTAAGTTGCTTTTGTCAGTATTTTGTCACAGCCACAGGAAAAGAAACCTAGATAATAAGCCTACACTTGACTTAAACTACCCTGGCCTAATAGCAGCTCCAGAATGATGATGTTAGTGTTGACTATGCATTCTGAGAGCTGAGGGAGTAGATGAGGTGATTCTCTTTACATGCATGGAATAAAATAGGGTGTGAAAGAAATGATCTATTGTGTATCCTTCTGTGTAGACTCTCTTACCTGCTTCTAAAGAGATGGCTTTCTCTAGTAATCTTTATTTAACTTCTTAATTTCTTTTTTGTAGCCCTGGCTGGCCTGGCACTATGTAGACCAGGCTGGCCTCAAACTCAGACATCCACCTGCCTGTCTCCCTAGTGCTGTGATTAAAGGCATACTTTACCATGCCTGGCATCTAAAATCTTGATAGTTTTTACATTTTTTATTTTTGCTGATGTTTAATCTTTTCATTTGAAAAATCACTTTTCATAGAATTTCATCCATTTCTAAAGAGCTAAAATTTTTTAGTAACCTTTATGCCCAGTTTATAATTTCTTTTGCTGAAAGTTTAGTCTTTTATTTTATGACTTACAGATATTTTACAGCCTTCTGATTAGTTTCACTGGGAGTTTGTATTCACATAAATGTATTAGAATTAGATGCAGTCTCCGAAATGCCTTGCTATCCCTGCCAGTGTTCAAATGCAGGAATCCAGCTTCTTTTTTACTTGATGTGCTTCATAACTCTGTGCTGTTTACCATGCTGAAGGATAGCTTTTCACAAACAGGTGAAGTTATTCATCTCATTGGATTTTTTTCAAGATTTAAAATCTAGTTATTAGGGGCTGAAGAGATGGCTCACAATTAAGAGCAATTGCTGCTCTTGAAGAGGACCCAGGTTGGGTTTCCAGTACCCACATGGCAGCTCAAACAATCTTTTAACTCCAGTTCTGAGAGATCTGATGCCCTCTTCTGGCCTCCTTGGCAGCTCAAACAATCTTTTAACTCCAGTTCTAAGAGATCTGATGCCCTCTTCTGGCCTCCTTGGGTACACATATGGTGAACATTCAGACTTCGAGGTAAACACTTAAATACACCTAAAATGAAGATGAGTAGATGTTTTAAAAATTAAAAAAATAAAAATAGAATAAAAAACTGATTGCAGATTGGGAAGATGGTTTTGAGGTATTCTAAAAAGACTCAGTGGATCAGTCAGATTTGTGGTTGAGGTATATGAGAATGACTGTGCACATGAAAGCAGACCTGGCTTCTTCCATAGTGGGGAAGGGATGTCAATCTAACCAATTCTCTGGCTGAGGGAACTTTATATACCTACAGAAAATTCTTTTCTATGACTATTGGTTACTTGTAACTTGCAGTTCAACCATAGCTCAAGGCACTGAATGGCTAGAATTCCAGAAGGGTACCTCTGGACAGGCCTGTATAGACCCTCACTCCGATGCACTCCCTACTCCTCTGTATTGTGCTAAATGTAGAAGAAACCAAGTGTTAAAATGTGTATCATTGGCTATGTGTGGGAAATTCTTAAAATTTTGTTTTCACCATTATAGTATTAGTTTTCTAAAGTTTGAGGGCATTTACAGACAGTATTTTGAACTATGGTTACTGTCGGTAAATAAGGTACAATTACAGCAGCTTGAACCATGGCTCAGACTCATAAGTAAGTGTCCTAATTTTTGTGCTCTAACACCAAGGATTCTCTAGGAGTGTATTGTTAATCTTTGTAATGAGGACCTTGAAGTCAGGGTTATGAAATTATGTTTTGAGGTGAATTAACCCATAATCCTTGTCTATGTTTAGCTATGTGGCTTGGTACTTTTTTCTCAGTCCAAATTCTCATCCTACTTCCCCTGCGTCTGGCTGGCTACCCAGTCTCTGCCTTTCCTCTTCCCAGAATTCTCCTAGTCTGGTTGCCCTGCCTATACTTCCTGCTTGGCTACTGAAAATCAGTGGTTTATTAAACCAATACGAGTGACAAATCTTTACAGTGTACAAGAGCATTATCCCACAGCACCTACTTTTCTAGAGCCTTCTTTCTGCTTTTGTGACAGTTAATGTATTCCGATTATTCTTAGTAGTCTTGTGTATCTTGAACATTAGAAAGCCATCTTTTGGATGTATTTTGGAAGTGTCAATCACTGGGTGTGGTGGCACATGCCTGAAACCCCAGCATTTGGGAAGCTGAGGCAGGAGGATTATGAGTTTGAGGCCTGTCTAGGCTACAAAGTAAGTCCCTGTCTCACTGAAACAAAATGAGAAAGTAGGTAGGAGGGAGGGAGGAAATGGTTATCAATCTGTATTCCATACTCTGTGGGAAGCCTCTTTTCGTGGCAGCTTCAGCATTCAGTGCAGGTGATTCTGCTAATGAAGATACTGAGCAGCTTTGTGCCTGATACTCAGTGTGTCATGTGTAGATAATTCACCCACTCACAGTTCTTTTGAATTTCAGGTAAAAAGCATCAGAATGCATTTCAGCTTCTGGTGGATCAGGCCAAAAAAGGATACAAGAAAACTGGCAGAATGTCAAAAGCTACAGTAATGAGAAAAGATGTACCTGCAGAGAAGCTTTCGTCTGCAGTCACGGGTAAGACTTACTAAAACAGAAGCACAGTGAATTTTATTGCTTTTTTTTAAACATTTATTTATTCATTTTGTATATGCACGTGCATACATTTGTGCACATGTGAAAAAGTCACAGGACAACTTGTGGGAGTTGGTTCTGTCCTTCCACCCTGTGGGTTTCAGTGATCAAACTCAGGATGTCAGGCTTGATAGCAAGTGCTTTTACCCACTGAGCATCTTGTTGGTCCTCCTTCTTGTTTAATGTAAAAAAAAAAAAAAAAAAAAAAATATATATATATATATATATATATATATATATATATAAATAAAACCACTGGAATTTACTGAAGTTATTCAGTATTTGAAATGGGGAAAAAGTATTTTTAGAAAGCTTAATGTAGTAGTTGTTGACTATAAAGTAGCTTATTGCTTGCTTTGGAAACAGTGGAAGAATGTGCTGAAGAGATGGATGGCCCCTGAAGTCTGCCTGCCTTGTAGTTATGAAGCATCCCAAGCTCTGTGATTGTCTAAGTGTGAGAATGTTCTCACGGTGTGAGATATATTGCTGAAGATCCTAAGACAAAGAGCATTATTTTTGTTGCAGAACTCTGATGTTTACTTTTATGAAGTGTTATGTTGAAGAGTTTAAAGCTAATGCAGCTGCTATTCCAACAAATTCAGCGCATTACTTAGTTTTGATCCAGCTTTAAATTTGAGATTAATGATTTTCTGTTGCCAAGGCTTCTCCCATGAGCAAAACCGAATCATAAAGGGGAAAGGAGCACAAAATAATTCTTTACTACTTTTCTTAGTTGTGACAAAATACAGATAACATGTATATTTTTAACAATTCATAGGTGCACAATTCATGGCTGTTAAATGGTTTCATAGAACTGTTTAACCATCTATACCCCAAACCCTTTTAGTATCCCCAGTACAAACTATGTTGTGTATCACATCACCCCCTGCTCTCCCAAATAGTCCTGATAATCTCTGTTTTGTCTGTTTATGGATTTGCTTGCTTCGGGTACCTAATGCAAATAAAATTATACAATATCTGTCTTCCTGTGTTGGATTATTTTTTTCTAAACATAATGCTTTTATTGTCTGTCAGTGTTGTAGCAAATATTAAAATTTCTTTATTCCTTAGTATGCATATGCAACATTTCAATATTTATTGAGCTTTTTTTTTTTTGCCTTCTTGACTATTGTGAATGATGTTTTTGTGTTCATTAGTTTTCAGATGTCTGTTCAAGACCCTTCTTTCAGTTCTTTTTTATTATGTGTGTAGCTAGAGTTTTCCTGCCTGGCCCACAGTCAGGACAAATCTCTATCACCTGCCAGTCTCACAGCCGTCAGACCCAACCAAGTAAACACAGACTTATTTTGGTTACAAACTGTATGGCCGTGGCAGGCTTCTTGCTAACTGTTCTTACAGCTTAAATTAATCCATTTCCATTAATCTATACCTTGCCACATGGCTTGTGGCTTACCAGCATCTTCACATGCTGTTTGTCATTGTGGTGGCTGGCAGTGTCTCTCTGACTCAGCCTTCCACTTCCCAGCTTTATTCTCCTCCTTGTCTCGCCTACACTTCCTGCCTAACCAATGGCCAGTGTTTTATTTATTGACTAATTAGCAACACATTTGCCATACAGAACATCCCACAGCATATGTGTCTGTTCTAGTTTCATTTCTATTGCTGTGATAAAATGCTCTGACCAAAAGAAACTTTGGGGAGGAAGAGTTTATTTAGCTTACAATCCCAGGTCATAGTCTATTATTGAGGGATGTCAGGGCCAGGAACTTGAAGGTAGATCTGCTTGCTGTTCCAAACAGCATGACTTTCAACCAAGAGACTCACTTCACTGTCAAAGAAGTACAGCAGCAACCATGGAAAGTACTGCTTACTAACTGGCTCTCAGGCTAGTTTATACTCAGCCAGCTTTCTTAAATAGTTCAGGCCTGCCTACCTAGGGATGTTACTACCTATAGTGGACTAGGTTCTCTTACATTAATTAACAGTCAAGACAGTCCTCTCACAGAAATGCTCACAGGCCAATCTAATCTAGGGAATTTCTCAACTGGGGCTTTCCTTCATATGGTTCTAGGTTGTGTCAAATTGATAGTTAAGGTAACCAGACAGTGTCTAAAGACCTAAGTGGAATTCCTGGTTCACATGGTAGTTCCACGTTCAGCCTTTTGAGGAACCAACAAATTGTGCTGCATAATGGCTGCATCATTTTACATCCCCACTGGCAGTGCATTCCAGGTCTCATTTCTCCACATCCTTTCAGCACTTGATAGGTTTCTTTGTTGTGGAAACCATCTTCTAGATGTATGTTTCCTTGTGGTGGAGACCATCTGTATTAGTCAGGTTCTTCAGAGGAACAGAACTGATAGAACACACACACACACACACACACACACACACACACACACACACACACACACACACACACGGTGGGGTGGGGGGCACTTATTAAGAGTGACTTACAGGTTGTGGTTTCTCTAGACTGACAATGACTGTCTCCTGATGGAAGGGCCAAGAATTCAGTAGTTGTTTAGTCTAACTAGTTCGACTAGTCTTCAGCCTGTGTTGGAATCCTGAAGAAGTAGGTCCTAATACTAGTTAGGAGTACCTCAGCAACAGGGTTGATGAACTTGTCAGAGAGAGTGAGGGCAAGCAGTCAAAAAGCAAAAACTTTGCATTTCTCTATCTTTCTATAATGTAACCTACCACCAGAAGGTGTAGCCCATATTTAGGGTGTATCTTTGACCTCACATGATCCAGTCAAGAAAATACCTCACCACTGTGCCCCAATACTTGGGTTTTAGTTCATTCCAGATGTAGTCAAGTTGACAACCACTTAGTAAGGATGGTAATCTTACTAAGGTGTAAAGTGATATATCATCATGATTTGATTTTCATTTTCCAAGAAGTAATGAAGTTGAGTGTCTTTTCATATACTTACTGGCCATCAGTTTTTCTGTTTTGGAATGTATTCAAATCCTTTGCCTACTTATTAATAGGACTGTTTGGGTTTTGATTGAGTTTTAGGGATTTCTTACTGTGGATATGAGTCCTTCATTGTGCATATGTGATTTGCAAATATTTGTAGACACCCTTTAGTCTTTTGCTTTCTTGATAGTAATTTTTCATGTAAAAGGCTGCTTATCTTTTTATTACATTCAGTTTATTTATTTTTTTTCATTTATTGCTTGTACTTTTGGTGTACAGTCTCTGGGCTTCAGAAGTTGATGTTGTTAGGCTGCTGTGGGTGAACAGGGATGCCTAAGAGGCAAGACATGTGAAAGATAAAGACAGATTGAAAAGATGGATTTAGTGTATTGTCAACAGTGAGTGTAACTGATGGCCTTTAGCGTAAACATTGAACTGCCCTGTAAATGAACAAGATGCATGATTCTCAAAGGAGACCTAACTTGCTTTTGTTGCTTGTCTTAGAAGTCTGTTGTTTGAGCCTCACATTTGGGCTCTTTGGAGCCCTGCATTTCAAGGTTTAAGGGCAGACAGGAAGGAAAGCTGACTTTTAGTGCTCACAAATTGTAGGATGATATTTATCGTTGATGGAATTTTATCTTCTCTAAGCTAATGTAAGAGGGGAAGAAGAGAAGACTGTAGTCACTGCAAAATTAAGTTTGTTGTTAAGTTGAATTCATATTCCCTTACCTGCCAGTTTGACTGCATTCTTCCCGGACTGTTGAGTGATTGCGTGGCCTGGGTGGGAGGGGTTTCCTGGGTGATTGGTTCCCCTCCTCATCATATGTTTAGAAGAGGAGGTTCTTGACCTTCTGGAAAGTCACTGGTTAATGCCCTTCCTCTCTCCCTGATGAATGGCAGAGGGTGTGGCTCTGACTTGGTCATGGTAGTTTATTGGTATTCAGGCAACATTAGGAGCTTACACTGGTGGTGAATGCTGTCCTTCTATATAACAAACATTGAGGGTCATTTCTGAAAATCTTGAGTATGTGAACTTGGGAAGGTGGTTTTGTTTTTAAAGACTTTGTCCTATTCAGTGAATTTTCTCTGCCAATAAACCTTAACAGTTGCATTTGTTTGTTTGTTTATTCACTCACTCATTCATTCATTTATTTTCTGAATTGTCAGGATAGCACAGATGAAAATCTCCATAGTGTTGGCACACACTGTAAAAGGGAGAGTCCTAGGCAACAGACAGTCTGGCACAGCTTGTATTTTTTGCTCTTTTGTTTTCAGATATTTGGCTATGCCTGTATGTCATATTCTTTCAAACCACTCTGAGGTGTCCCTGTATCTTTATCTTTATAAAAAGAAACTTTGAAAACAGATATGACAAAGGATATACAGAAATGTGACTTGTCAGATCAAATGGCAAGATTCCTATGTCTGATTGGTTTTCCTTTTCCTTATAATGAATCGTTTGTTTAACGGATTTAGAAAAGTGTCCTTAGATGTTTGATCTCATGTGACAGATAGTATGATTACCTTATTAGTTGAGTCTGTTTTGTTAATTTGTCACTGTTCTTTGACTTTGAAGTATGCAATTATTCCTTAGTAATCTGCTAGTAGAATGGTGAGGTATTTCCATCTCTGGTTTTAAAGAAAACTTTACTTTTAAATGAATTAATCCTGGAAAACATAAATAAGATAATTAATAGCAATAAAGTGACATTTCTTATTTTATAGATTTAGAATCAGTGTTCTTTTACTTCTATTTTTAAAGTAGAACTAGCAATATATAAAGTGTTAAAGAAAGACAGGGTATACATTTTAAGATCCTCCTTAATTTTTAAAACAATTTTGTATTTCCCTGTTAGGACAAGAAGATAATATGAACTTCTCGGATACAGTCTCAGTAACAAACCACTTTCCTCAGTCAGAACTGGACTTCCCAGGGCAGTCAGAGCCCGAGAGACCTGATGATTCTTCTAGTTGTACTGATATTCTTCTCTCCTCAGAATCTGATTCATGTAATAGGTAAGGAATGTGTAGAAAGTGCTTCTTTTAAATTCCTGCTTCCTACGTTTTATTTTGACTCACAGTTCTGAGGTATGGGCCCTCATGGGAAGAAAATCATGGTGGCAGGAATTTGATGCAGCTGGTCACGTGAACAGTTAGGAGAGGAGGAAGGACAAGTGCTGGTGCTCAGTCAGTTTCTCCTTTTCATAGATTCCACACCCACATCCAGGGAATGGTCCTGGCCACTTCTGGGATGGGTCTTCTCATCTCAGTGAACCTAAGCAAGCTGTTCCTGGAGGCTTTTCTCCTAGATAGCTCTAGATCCTGTGAAGTTGACAGTCAATACTAATATAGTGATTATATAACTAATAGTTCTCACTCTTCCAAATGCTGTGACCCTTTAATACAGTCCCTCATGCTGTGGTGACCCCCCCCAACATAAAATTATTTCCTTGCTACTTCATAACTATAGTTTTGCTACTGTATGAATTGTAATGTAAATATCTGATATGCAGGATGATATCTGATATGTGACCCCCAAAGGGGTTGTGACCCACAGTCTGAGAACTGCTAATTAGAGGATAGTTTCATGGTCCAAGTCAGTTCTCTTTCATTTCGGTTTATTTTTTGGGTCATCTTCATAGTGATAGCAAGCTGTGATGTGGGAGGGTAGTGTAGGGATCATAAAGTAACTTTGTTTTCTTTTTTCCCTAGAGTTGGTAGAGCAAACATGATAGGCAGTGAGGTTTTTCTTTTGTTTGTTTTTGTTTTCTTGTCAAGAAAACACATATGGGACTGATCAGAAAGATAGTACACACAGGAAAGAGAAATTTTTAACAGTTGCCTCAATGCATGGGATAGATTGGGAGGATTTTAAAAAATTAGATATTTAGTGGTGAGCAATTTCAAAAATGTTAAATATATAATTTTTATTTCACTACTGGGTGTTGAACCTACCTAGGGCCTTGCACATGGTAGGCAAACGCTTTACTGCTGAGCTATGTGGCTGGCCCTTGGAAAAATATTTTGTATTAGTTACTTATCTTTCTTTTTTTTTCTCTCTCTCTTTCTTTCTCTCTTTTTGAGGCAATATCTCACTATATAGTCCTGGCTGGCCTCAAACTCACAGAGATCTGCCTGTCTCTGCCTCCTGAGTGCTGGGACCCTGACTGAGAAGGAGCAGAACAGTAACATTTAATCTCTTTCTTTTTCCTGAGTGGACACTAAACAATACAGCCCACACGTATTGCTTCTGCTTTTCCTGCCTTCTAATACAATGCTTTACATTCTAATCAAATCATGAGCCAGATAAACTCTTCCTCATTAAGCTGCTTTTGTTAAGTATTTTGTCATAAGAAAAATAAGGAAGCTGGGTGTGGTGGCACATTCCTTTATCTTAGTACTGAGGACAGAGGAAGATAGAACCCTCCAGGCCAACTTGATCTACACAGTGAGTTCTAAGCCAGCCAGGGCTACATAAGAACTAGGAGACAGATGGTCTCTTGGCCTAGTAGAAAAGGTAAAGAAAATATAGTTGAGGGAAAGGTAAAATAAACTTGTTGATACCATGTGTTCATGTGCAAGTTAGCTTTCTGTTGTAAGAAAATATCAGAAGCAATCAACTTATAAAGAAGAAATGTTACTTTAATTTTTTCAGCTGGGCATAGTGGCGCATGCCTTTAATCCCAGCATTCACGAAGCAGAGGCTGGCAAATCTCTTGAGTTCAAGGCCAACCTGGTCTACAAAGTGAATTCCAGGACAGCCAGGGCTATACAGAGAAATCCTGTCTTGAAAAACAAAGAAACAAAACAAAACTAACCAGCCAACCAACCAAACAAACAACTCATTCAGAGATTCCAATACATGATCAATTGGCTCTATTGCTTTGGCCCTGTGGTGAATTAGCACATTGCTGTGGGATGTTCTGTATGCTGTGAATATGTGTTGCTCTGATTGGTTGATAAATAAAATGCTGATTGGACAGAAGCCAGGCAGGAAGTATAGGCGGGATAAGCAGATAAGGAGAATTCTGGGAAGTGGAAGGCTAAGTCAGGAGACGCCAGGCAGCCGTCCAGGGAGCAACATGTAATGGTACACAGGTAGAGCATGGAACACGTGCTGACATATAGATTAACAGAAATGGGCAGAGTTTAGGTGTAAGAGCTAGTCATTAGTTAGCTTGAGCTAATGGCTGAGCAGTTATAAATATTATTAAGCCTCTGTGTGATTATTTTATAAGCAGGCCATAGGACCGTGGGGGCTTGGCGGGACCTGGAGAAACATTCGTCCTACAAATAATTAACAGAAATGGACTGAGTTTAAGTGTAAGAGCTAGTCAGTAGTTAGCCTGAGCTAATGGCCAAGCAGTTTTAATTAATATAAGCCTCTGTGTGTTTACTTGGGTCTGAGCGGCTGTGGACCAGGTGGGACACAGAAAAACTTTCAGCTACAGCACATCATGGCAGGAAGAGTGTATGATGGAACGAAACCACTCATCTCGTGGATGGGAATCAAAAGAGAAAGGAGGAGTTGGGGAAGAAGGAGAGGCAACTGGTGCCTTACTTTCCCTTCGATGGCACACCCTGGATAACCCTTAAATGACCTAAGGAGCTTTCATGAGGTCACACCTCCTAAAGGTTCTACCATCTCCCAATAGCCCCAGTCTTGGGACTTGCTCTATAGCCATGTGATTTAGGAGACATTCAAGATCCAGACAACAGCAGAAAATGTTTATAGAAATACTTTACTCCAAAGTCCTGCTGTAACTCACTGCTTGTGGAAAGAGGTGAGATGTCTTCTTGTACTTACAGTCAGTCACATATTGTTCTGGGGCCACTCGGTAAGGTATTGGGCCTCCTCTTTATGTACCTTCCTATGGACCTAGATCCTGGGTACGATTATAATTGATAAATAATTCTCTGACCTCCCTAATACCTTCCTTTTGGTAAGGGTTCAATGGAGTTATCCTTATGAGATATTTGAGGAGAAAATGAGTGTAATGATGCTAGGGTTGGCCTTTGTTCTGTTTGAAACAGGGCCTCTAGATGATACTCATTCATTCAACATGTAGGTTGTGTGTGCCAGGCACTATTCTTAGATGCTGCAGTCTTGAGTGAGCCAACCATTCAGAAAAGTTTTCTTTTTCACTTAAAGGTTCATTTTTATTTTATGTGAAAGAATGTTTTGTCTGTATGTCTGTGCACCACATGCATGCCTGGTGCTTTTGGAAGCCAGGAGAGGACACTGACTTCCTGAAACTGGAGTTACAGATGGTTATGAGCCACCATATAGGTACTGGGAACCAAACCTGGGTCTTCTGCAAGAACAATTGTGATCTAACTGTTAAAAATAAAGTTAGACCTAAATTTATGCACATTATAATTGGTTATATGTGTATGAGTGTGTGTTTATACATACATACACACCCATGGCCCACTAAGAATAATAACTCCATTATTGTGCAGCAGGGTGTAATGTAGTATTAATGAGGTGTATTCATCATTGGATAGATGATAGTTCTATATTTTCATTAAAAATAAGTTCTTTGCAGAATATACTTAACGAAGGTGTAACTTAAATCTACTTAATAAAAATATAGAGAGACATTTTTGTTAGTGAATCATGTATCAGGGATTGCCTGTTATGTATAGTCATGTCATGTCCCTTAAAATAAGTGGAAGAAATTTCTTTTCTTTGAGACAGGGTCTTTCTGTGTAGTTCTGGCATTGCTGTATAATCAGACTGGCCTTGAACTCAGAGAGATCCACCTGCCTCTGCCTCCTGAGTGCTAGGATTAAAGGCATGAGCTACCCTGCCCAGGTAATGGAAGAAATTTCAGAGTAGTAATGGGTCATGACTGATTTGCTTGTGGCAAAGGGCTTTTGGTGTGGTTTCGGCTGTCAGGTTTTCAAATGCTTTGTACTCCCTTTGAGTAGACACTCATCTGCAAGCAACATAGAAGATAGAAGATGGCTGGGATGGGTGAGTGAGGTGACTTAGTGGTTAAGAGCACTTGATCTTGTAGAGGACTTGAATTTGATTCCCAACACCCACATCAGGCAGCTCACAACTGCCTGTAACTCCAGTTCCAGTGTACCTTCCGGCCTCCATGGGTTACCTGTATACATGTGATGCACATTAATTCATGTAGACACACATATGTACACTAAACAAACAAACAAACAAACAAGTAAATAAATACATTTTTAACTAAAGAAAACAATCCTAACAAGAAGATGCCGGAGAAATACCTAGGAGCAGCTCAGTTGGCAGAATGGGTGAGTGCTTTAGATGAACTCCCTAGAGACTGCAGTCAGGTGTTTTTGATGCTGTACCACTGCTGATGGTGCCTTAGAAAGCACGTGTTTGTGTGGGAAGACTCAAACCTTATAGGTGCTTAGCAAACATGAAGAGGTGGAGATAGACATATTTTAGGGATACTTTAATCACTTTCAGTCATACGTTTATGCATGTACAGAAATGGTATTGAAAACCAGTGTTGACGCTTGAGAGATTGGGTCAGCCTTTAAGAACTCTTGCTATGCAATCATGGGGATTGGTGTTTGGACTGTAGAACCTGTAGTAACAAACTGAAAATTGTGCAAACACCTGTAACTCTGGCTCCAAGGATCTGACATCCTCTTCTGAACTCCACAGCAACTAGGGGTGTGCATGCACACATAAATAAGTAAATAAAACTGATCCTTAAAAAACAACCCTTGGGACTGGAGAGATGGTTCAGTGGTTAAGAGCACTGACTGCTTTCCTAGAGGACCTGTGTTCAATTCCTACCACCCACATGGCAGCTCACAACTGTTGGGGAATATTATTTTAAGGTGTGTTACTTTTGTTTATGTTGCATTTGTTTAACTCTCTGAAGCTGTGTTACTGTGCCTGTGTAAAACACCTGATGGTCTAATAAAGAGCTGAACAGCCAATGGCGAGGCAGGAGAAAGGATAGGTGGGGCTGGCAGGCAGGGAGAACATATAGGAGGGGAAATCTGGGAAAAGGAAGAGG